GCGGAGATCGTGCGTGTCGAAGCGCTCTCGCTGTGGCGCCGTGCGAATTGTCTTGACGCGGCGAACCCTCTGCGGAGATCCTGCGGAGATCCTGCGCGTCGAAGCGCTCTCGCTGTGGCGCCGTGCGAATTTGTCTTGAGCCCGATGAACCCTCTGCGGGGATCGTGCGTGTCGGATCGCTCTCGCTGTGGCGCCGTGCGCATCTGTCTTGAGCCCGATGAACCCTCTGCGGAGATCGTGCGTGTCGAAGCGCTCTCGCTGTGGCGCCGTGCGATTTTCTTGCTCGCGAAACGGCTTTTGGAAGTTGTCTCGTGGTGTGCGCGCCTGCTTTCGCAATCCCGCGGTCCCGGGTTCGATTCCCCCCTGGTCCGCGGCAGCTCCGGCTTGAAAATCGCAGCTTTTAAGTACAAACGTAGTACGCGGAGCGTGCTCCTGCAGCTCCGGCTGGAAAATCGCAACTTTTAAGTACAGACGTAGTATGCGGAGCGTGCTCCCGCAGCTCCGGCTGGAAAATCGCAGCTTTTAAGTACAAACGTAGTACGCGGAGCACACTCCCGCAGCTCCGGCTGGAAAATCACAACTTTTCAGTACAAAAAATAGTACGCGAAGTACATTCCCACAGCTCCGGCAGCACTTGCTCAGAGCAACTTGCGCAGAGCAACTTGTGCAGAGCAACTTGCACAGAGCACTTGCACAAAGCACTTGCGGAGAGCAACTTGCACAGACCAACTTGCACAGAGCACATGCGCAAAGCGCTTGCACGGAGCAACTGGCGCAGAGCAACTTGCTCAGAGCACTTGCGCAGAGCAACTTGCATAGAGCGCTTGCGTGCAGCAGCTTGCAGAGAGGAACTTGCGCGCAGCAGCCTGGAACGATGCAGCTTGCGCAGACCACTTTCGTGAGAAATCGCGCGGCGCAGTTCGTGCAAAGCACATTGCGCCGAGCAGACTCGCGCAGAGCCAACTTGCACAGAGCCAGTTGCGCAGAGCCACTCGCGAAAAGTAGCTTGCGTAGACCCAACTTTCACAGAGCCAAGCTGCGCAGAGCCATCTTGCACAGAGCTAAGTTGCGCGAGCGTGCTTTGCAGAAACTGTGGCCGTCGTGTAAGCTTTGCTATTGATTGCTCTTTCCTTTTGCTTGTAATTCGTTTCGAGCTTTACGAGCTTTACTCTTCTTGTTTTAACGGAGGTAAATATGTGGGATCGAGCACTGCCATGTTTCCTCTCGTAGGACGATGAGATGGAGCTCTCATGTGACCATATGCATTGAGCATCGCCGCGCGGCTCGCAGCAGCGATGTAAAAAGGTGTCTCCGCGGCTGGATGAGCACCTGGGGAAAAATGCTTTCGGGCCAATCGTCCTCTAGTTCTGGCGGGGGTAGGCCCGACAGGAGCTTACGAAACGCACCCCTCTGCGGAGATCGTGCGTGTCGAAGCGCTCTCGCTGTGGCGCCGTGCGAATTTGTCTTGAGCGCGGCGAACCCTCTGCGGAGATCGTGCGTGTCGAAGCGCTCTCGCTGTGGCGCCGTGCGAATTTGTCTTGAGCCCGATGAACCCTCTGCGGGATCGTGCGTGTCGAAGCGCTCTCGCTGTGGCGCCGTGCGAATTTGTCTTGAGCGCGGCGAACCCTCTGCGGAGATCGTGCGTGTCGAAGCGCTCTCGCTGTGGCGCCCGTGCTCGTGCGTGTCGGCGCTCTCGCTGTGGCGCCGCGCGAATCTGTCTTGGTCGCGGCGAACCCTCTGCGGAGATCGTGCGTGTCGAAGCGCTCTCGCTGTGGCGCCGTGCGAATTTGTCTTGACCTTGGCGAACCCTCTGCGGAGATCCTGCGCGTCGAAGCGCTCTCGCTGTGGCGCCGTGCGAATTTGTCTTGAGCCCGATGAACCCTCTGCGGGGATCGTGCGTGTCGAATCGCTCTCGCTGTGGCGCCGTGCGCATCTGTCTTGAGCCCGATGAACCCTCTGCGGAGATCGTGCGTGTCGAAGCGCTCTCGCTGTGGCGCCGTGCGATTTTCTTGCTCGCGAAACGGCTTTTGGAAGTTGTCTCGTGGTGCGCGCGCCTGCTTTCGCAATCCCGCGGTCCCGGGTTCGATTCCCCCCTGGTCCGCGGCAGCTCCGGCTTGAAAATCGCAGCTTTTAAGTACAAACGTAGTACGCGGAGCGTGCTCCTGCAGCTCCGGCTGGAAAATCGCAACTTTTAAGTACAGACGTAGTATGCGGAGCGTGCTCCCGCAGCTCCGGCTGGAAAATCGCAACTTTTAAGTACAAACGTAGTACGCGGAGCACACTCCCGCAGCTCCGGCTGGAAAATCACAACTTTTAAGTACAAAAAAATAGTACGCGAAGTACATTCCCACAGCTGCGCAGCAGCACTTGCTCAGAGCAACTTGCGCAGAGCAACTTGCGCAGAGCAACTTGCACAGAGCACTTGCACAAAGCACTTGCGCAGAGCAACTTGCACAGACCAACTTGCACAGAGCACATGCGCAAAGCGCTTGCACGGAGCAACTGGCGCAGAGCAACTTGCTCAGAGCACTTGCGCAGAGCAACTTGCATAGAGCGCTTGCGTGCAGCAGCTTGCAGAGAGGAACTTGCGCGCAGCAGCCTGGAACGATGCAGCTTGCGCAGACCACTTTCGTGAGAATCGCGCGGCGCAGTTCGTGCAAAGCACATTGCGCCGAGCAGACTCGCGCAGAGCCAACTTGCACAGAGCCAGTTGCGCAGAGCCACTCGCGAAAAGTAGCTTGCGTAGACCCAACTTTCACAGAGCCAAGCTGCGCAGAGCCATCTTGCACAGAGCTAAGTTGCGCGAGCGTGCTTTGCCAGAAACTGTGGCCGTCGTGTAAGCTTTGCTATTGATTGCTCTTCCTTTTGCTTGTAATTCGTTTCGAGCTTTACGAGCTTTACTCTTCTTGTTTTAACGGATGTAAATATGTGGGATCGAGCACTGCCATGTTTCCTCTCGTAGGACGATGAGATGGAGCTCTCATGTGACCATACGCATTGAGCATCGCCGCGCGCGGACACGCTCGCCGCAGCGATGTAAAAAGGTGTCTCCGCGGCTGGATGAGCACCTGGGGAAAAATGCTTTCGGGCCAATCGTCCTCTAGTTTTAATGCTGTGCAATGAACTACTTGTCCACGAGCATTTCCTGAGCAAACCAGTCCTTCTGCAGGCCATGGGCTATGTCTGCGCATGTGTGCTCTCGCTGCCAAATCGAAATTGACCTGAAACATGGCGTTTGGTTTGCCTGCTTCAAGACTTCTCTTTGGCCTGAATTCGGGCAGCCCGAAGCGCTAGGAGATAGTCCGAGCAGTTGGTGGGCTCAAGGTGCGGGCTTGCAAGAGTGCTGCCCAACAGGATCAAAAGGGGATGGTATCGCGTGGGGACCTTGCGCATCAAATGGATGAGTTGATTCCTGACGTGCTTTCAAAGTTTGAGCAAGCCACAGTGATAAGGCGATTTGCCTCAAGGTTTGTCTGGTTGCACCCGTTTGTCAGGCAAACCCACCAAACTGCCTGGCCATGTCATGGGTTTTCATTCCGCTCAGGTGGACCGGTTGGAACGCAAGGACTTGGCTTGCAAGTGCAGCAAGGATGTGCTTCATGCTTGCAGGGTTTGGTTAGTCAGCATGCACGCTGACTTGTGCCAGGATGAGGTGGTGTTTGTGGATGTTTGCGGCGCTCCCGGGGCGTGGTCTAAGTACCTCTTCCAGCTGTGCGGGGCAGCCAGGATTGCTCGCGTGTTACGGCATCAGGGGTGGGGCCAGCCATCTACAGCTTAATGTCAAGAGCTGGCATGAGACTGTTTGCGTTGGGCAAGGGCTTGCTTCAAAGTAGTTGCTTGGGGCTTTGTTTTGATGCTGTCTTGTGATTCTTGGAGGCACATGCCCCTTGTGAAAGAACAGCGCAAGTGACAGAAGTGGGAAGCTCGACCAACAGCCACTCTTCAGAAAACGTGGTCACTCTTGTTTTTGTTGCGATCCTGTGGACAAGACCACTCGGCAAGCCAGATGGGTCCTTCCACCTTTGTGGACGGTGGGAAATCCACCCCCAAGGCCCTGTCATGTAAGCTGGAAACATTCCCTTTGATCAGCCCCTGCCTCATCCCCAGGTGCCATTTCCTTTGTTACGGCCAAAATGAACTAATGAACCAATGAACTTGACTCCAGGGGTCTGCCTGAGGGCAATTAAAAGATTGGAGCTGCGCCTCACCCTCCAAGCCAAACAGCACACCCGAGGTGAGGAGAAGAGCTGTCGCTGTCAGGGTTTCGGCTTCAGCCTCCGGGATGGCACCAATGAGAAGAGCTGCACCTGGTTCAAGCAGGACTGTGTCCTATGGGGGGTTCCCTTTTGCTAGGCTTACAGGGAGTTCCCCGTTGATGGCAGCAAGCTGCTTGCTCACCACGGGCCCCGGCTCAAGGTGCTCGATATAGGGGCCGCTGTCATCAGCCATTTGGCACGTAGAGGCTAGGGGCCCCTGTTTCGGGGCAATGTGATTCTGTTCGGCACCCGGCCTATTTCGGGTGATGTGAGCAAACAGGCCACAGCTTGCTTGGCCTAAACCTGGCGACTGAAGCAATTGTTACCCGGCCCCTGCAGGGCGTAGATCAGAGGCTGAACGTGGTGGCCCCTGTTTGGACAGACCAATTGGGTGCCCTAGGCCGGCAAGTTAATCTCTTTATGTCCCATGTTGTTTTGAACACTGCCTCTTCGGCCTTTGGAGGAATGGTCAAAAGAGCACCTTTTGCAGAGACAGGTTGTGGGGGTTGAAGTGCTGTTCTAAACAGACAGTGGGGAGTCAGAAGTAGAAGTGCCCCTTGAGGGTTGCAAGCTCAACCACCAGATTGGTGCAAGCCGGGGGCGAGGCAGGCGTTCATACTGCAAGCAGAAGCCGGCTCAAAGACCGAGATTCTGGCACGGGTCTTGTGATCAGCTAGTAAAGGCCGGATCAGTGTCTAGCTCCTTCCGCACAGACTGACACACGTGCGACTGAAGAAGATCGCAATGGATCCAGCCCGCAGCCTTCCGAGCAAAGTCACCAAATGATGACATCCAAATTTCCCACCAGAGGGCATTCGTGGCCCGATGGATCTCCTAACTTTGCTGCCATGGGTTCTTCTCCTGGCAGCGGTTGCCTGGCGGCGCCGGCGGAAGCCAGCCCAGGAGATGCCAGTGGCGCCAGCGCCGGCGCCGCGGGACAAGGCGGCGGCGCGCTTGCGGTGGTGGCAGGAGCTCAACCAGGCCCTTTGACCTTGGGCGCACACCGCAAAATAGGGATTTGGCTTGCCAAGGGGCTGACACTTCGCCGCATTGGCGCACCTTGCGCCCAAATGCGTTGCATCATGGAGTGCCGCTTCGGGAAACTAATGAACCCGGGATTGCAGGAAGTTCTGGCAAAAAGAGCAATTCGCCAGGCTTGAATGTCCAGGGTAGGCATCACTTGGTTGGCTGACCACAGCTTGCAGCTCACAGGTCAAGCCGGAGTTGGTGCTCCCAGCAGCTCCTGACGCATTACATCCAGTACATCCTATGCACAAGGCGGTGGCAGACATGGCCACCGAGAGGCTGCAGCACGGCAGAGACTGGCTGGCGCCTGGGCATGGTTGTAGACTGGAGCTGACACCCCGTGCCAAAAGCCAGTGCTTGGCTAGGCAGTCAGCGAGGGGGGGCAGTCTCTTAGAGCATGCTACGCATGTTTGTTTCTGCGTTTTTGTTTTTGTTCTTAAAAGTCAGCAGGAGCAAGGCACCATGTTTATTTGTGTTTGTTGCCAGTGCAGGCATAGTTGCAGGTATTTGTAGGTGCAAGAGAGAAGATAGAGAGAGAGAGAGAGAGAGGGAGAGAGAGCTTGCGTGTGGGTGTGTGAGAGGGACAGGGATCTTCATGACATGGGACCATCACCTTTGTCTTCCGAAGCAGCGCTATCAGTTGCAATACGTTTGAGCGGCACTGTAAGTCCACTGGTGGTAAGGCGCCTACGCATGCACCTGGGCGCGTTGACTGCTGCACCATGTCTTCCTTTGCAAAGGTGCGAGACTCGGACTACGCGGTGGGGGACAAGGCCCCAGCCCATGCTGCAGTCAAGGGCCAGGTGAACCCTGCCTTCGCGCAGCTGGTCATGGAGGTTTGCGAGCAGCGGCTGCTGGAGCAGCTGGCTGATGTCAGGCAGAGGGCGCAAGAGGGTTCCATCGGGTTACATTGGTACGGTTTTGTTTGCCTTTTTGCGCCGTGCCCAGACACCCAACTCAATCCATGCATGTCATTTCTGCGTTGCTGGAGACTCTTAGCTTATTGAACAGAGGCCTGAGACCGAACAGCCATACGTTTGTTCCCAAGCAGTCCCTGGCAAGCCCAGATTTGTGCAGACTCCACCAGGAGAAAGGATTCAATGTGATGCTTCAATATATAGCGTGCACTGACCAAGCTGGGTCACAAGGCAACCTCGTAGGAACAAGAGGCTCTCCAAGCAGACGGGTCCTACATGCTTTGTTCATCTTTGTTCTGAAAACGCAAATGCTGTTTGCGGAGGGAGGGGGTCCTGGCGTGCAAGTCGTGCAGGACGATCCTTCTGATTTTGGACACGCCCATGTACGGCACGCTGAGTGAGCTGGCAAAGCTTGTGCCTGAATTGCGCTACTGCCAGCAGGTGGTTATGCCGCAGGCCGACCTTCACCACTACTTCGAGATGATCAGAAGCCCGGACTTCTACCCCGGCGTCCGCGCTCAGAGAATGGACCTTCGAGCCGCCAGTTGTTGTGAGTCCTTTGTCGCCTCCGGGTTCTGTTTGAAGGTACTCTTTGGGCTGCTGTGAAAGGGTGCCCAGGCAAGTCTTTTGAAGATCTTGGCTGTTTTCAGGATCCGATTCGCTCTTGCCATGGCTCTTCGGGCCGGCCTGCAGGTTTTGTTGACCCACCCCAAATGGACAACGTTTCAGTCTAGGAAGTAGGGATTTGTGGATCTAGACGCCAAGCAAAGGCCACCGATTTGGTGCCCAAGGAAACCAGCCAACAACAAGAGAAGCATGACACACTTGGGGCCTAATGAATACTAATGGGTTGGCTTCATTTGTTGGTTTCCATTCATGCCAGGATCCCCAGTTTTGTCGCCTGAGGACCACTGGCTTTGCGCCAACGGGGTGGTGGGCTTTCGGTGCCTGGGCGCCTTCTTGGACTACGAGTGCCGCCTCATCGGCGCGCGCTCTGCCCGGCTCTGCCCGGCGGCGGACGTCATGCGCTACTTCCGCCTGAAGTACCCGGCCAAGCCCAGGCCCGCCTCGGGGCTGGCCCTTGTTGCGCTCTAGAAAGGTGCAGGATGGTTTGAGCACGTCTGTTGGGCATTCATGAGGGCTCGATGTTTGGACCATATCCCACCCCCTGTTCGGTATTCGGGGGCTGTAGGATAGTGTCCATTGCGGATATGTTCAGATTAGCCAAGGGCCCTCCCCATATTTCTCTCTTGATCCGTTTTGCGAGCACATCACCTTTTGGGCCAACATCTAATTGAGTTCCAGGGTGGTATAGCACTGGCAAGCGTACCTTCAGGTGCCGTCTGGTTGAGCTTGGCCGGGTGAGTGAGTCAGGGGTAAGACAGCAAGAATGCGGAAGGTGCCCCTTAGCAAGTTGAACTTCTATATCTTCATTGTGATTCATGGCTTTGTCTCAGTCAGTGAAGGGGCAAGGGAACAGTGCTTGAAACCCATTTGCCCCATGAAGGTCAGTGCTCGCCATCACCGTCGGGTTGGAGGACCATGATGAGCACGCGGGGGGTTGATCATTTTTGCGTGCATCGGTTCTACCCCCACCCCCCCCCCCCCCCCTCGGATGCCCCCTTCTCTGTCCCCTTCGGCTTGTCTTCCCCCCAGCGGGAAGCTTCCCCTACATTTTCGCGCCAGGAGCCCGCGCCCAGGCACGAGGACGTGGATGCCTTCGTGAAGGCCGAGGCCCAGCTGAACGGCTTCCGCGCCGAGCTGCGGGAGGCCTTCGCTCGGAAACCGAAGAAAGTATCGCGACGATTTTGACAGTGCGGATTTGCGGCTTCTTACCGATGTGTGTGTCTGTGTGTGTGTTTGTGGTGCGGTTTTGTGCATCCCGCATCGGCATTTGAAGGACTTTAGCTTCTTACAATTATCCTCTTCGTTTTTGTTGTCAAGGATTTGTTTCCCTTATTTTTCATCGATGAGTCCCAAAAAATGAGTTTCACACCCAAGTCCTTTGCGAGAGGTCTGGAAGTATCGCATGGCTACGTTGCTCTACGTCGTCCACGCAGAATGAAAACTCCAGTCGTTTGAAGGGTACGGCTATACAGCTCCCAGCGGGGCCCTGGCTGACGCAACCCGGGCCTTGGGCCCCGGATGCTCAATGAGAGCGGGGGGCCTGGAGGCTCCTGGAGCTATCGGAGGAGTTGGAGGCGTGAAATCAACGGGTCCAACGGCAAATGCGGCAGCCAAGGACTTGGCGCGATCTCACAGAACGGAAGCATCATGTGCGGCAAGGGTGAGGGAAAAAAAGAAGAAACAAAGCCCTTGCCGAACAAGCTTTGCACACTGAACGCTCATGATGCCACAGGATTTGATGATGCGTGCTGGCCTTGAATTGGGCACTGGGCACTGGGTAGACTTGGGTCTCTGGTTGCTTCCAGACCATAAAGGAGTGGGGGCGTGTTTCTACTGTTGAGGTTTGGCCATACCATCCATGTCTCCCAGCCTGGGACCAAGGTGACAACTTCGTGGCGCTGTGGGGTGCTGACGGGACGGGAGATGTGCGCGCCTAAGTCCTTGAGCAGTTGGATTTGCAAGCCAAGCGTGTTCAAGCCATGCCTGGAGCATCCTGGAGCAGTTTTCAACTTGGATCCCTTTCCGAAAATGGGGCGTGCTCAAGTGAGTGGCAAGCGTCACCTTGCGCTGGACCAGAGGCAAGCATGGCGTTGGAACACTTTGCCGCCTTTGCTGTTCAGAGATTGCGGCTATTGGCGATTGGTGTTCAATTTCAAAGAAGGGCCTGAAGCTGAAGCTGAAACACGCAGAGATTTTCACAGCAGCACAGATTGAGTAGATTCCTGCAGGCAACTGCCATTCTAGACTCTAGACTTGCGTAGCGAACCGATGGGCGCGGCCGAAAGCTGCCCAACTCCTGCGAAGTTGGCCCAACCTGCCATGTCCTGCGCATCCTTACTTGGCCTTTTGCATTTGGCGCAATATGCCATAGCTAAACACCGCACCTGGCATCCCGCAAAACAGCACGCTTGTAGCCAGCAGCTGGAGATTAGGCCAGCGCAGAAAGCCACGAGGAGATGGCATTGACCTGCATTTGAAGGTTGCTGGTCTTTGTCGTGGTTACTTGAGGACATTTCTGGTGTGGGGGTTGAGGTTCCTGTGGTGGACATCCGGTATTGCCAAGACAGCCGCCCAGCTGTGGCGAGAAGTTTCGAGATGGCCGTAGTTTGACCGACACCGTTCATGATTTGCAACAAGGGCGAATCATGGTGGCTGAGTTGTCAATCCGAGTGATTCAACTTGGTAGAGCCTACTTGTTCTGGGCAATCGTCGGCTTCGGTGCGTGAAAACCTTGCCGAAGAGCCATGTGACGGCGCTCCTGGTTGGCCTGCATGACCCAAAAGTGAAGATGGAGTGGGATGCCAAGTTCACTGTGGGAAAGAAATCGCGGTGCAGCCTGACGCGAAAGGTCAGCCGCCTCCGGCATCACGCTACAGCGCAGAATCAGCGCGCCCGATCGTTGGACTGGCGCTAGCTGCCAAGCATGCTTGCCCAAATCAAGCTATTCCAAGTCCCAATTCAAGAAGAAGGATTGCGGCAATGTTCGCAATGCGTTCTCCTGTCTCGGTGTGCCGGAGTCATGCAACAAGATTCAGACTCAGTAGGTGTTTTGTTTAGTTAATAGCGCGCGCGCAGGTTTTCCCACACGACATCCATCTCAGTGTCGTCATGTTGGCGGTGGTGCAGAACATAATCACAGCAATTCGTTTGGGCCCTTTCCCCACGTGCCAGTTTCCAGCAACTAGGCAGTGCCTCGGTAAGATGATGGCTGAAGCTAGTGCCCAGGGGCCCTTTGAGGTGCGGCATCTTGGCGTAGAACAAAAGTGGGCGTTGGCCTCCACGAGTAGCGTGCCACGCTTACCCTTCTTCCCACTAATAACATGGCACCTAACGGAACGCCAATGAGAGGAGAATATCCAGGAACCTCCATTCAAGTTATAGACAAGTGTTGCTGGAATTGAAGGAGTGCAATTCATCGCGGTTTCCCGTGGCTTCTGAGTTTGGACAGCCGAAGCAAGTGATTGCCACCTGTAGGCAAGATGTTAGGAGTGCCTGTCTTTGGCGTATGGACTATGCCTGGCTTCAGGTTTGCGTTCCAGAGAACATCGCTCATGCCGCGGCGGCTGTAGGGCAAGCTGATCTCGTGGCAGCCTTAGCCAAGTGGCAGGGGTGTTTCCAGACTGCCGCATGGAACAAACTGCCTGGGCTGTTTCCACTCAAGGGTGCAAGAGTCAAACATCGACAACCTCGGGCTGGCAAGGGCCCGCACTTTGGCGCCCCCTCATGTCGGAAACCGCTCTGTGCCCGTGCTTCCTTTGAAGAGGGCATGGGCAAAGCTGCTGCGAGGTGGTAGCCGACGGCGGTTTCGGAGTGGACAAAGGCTCGGTGGGTTGTGAGTTTCTCAGGAGCTTGTGCAACACAGAAACTGCGAAACTGCACTTGTAACAGCAAGACGCCAAATAGCAAGAAGTGCAACAGATGTGCTAAACTTATGGCAACATTTAAAAGCTCTTTGGATACCAAAATAATAGTCAGGGATAGCAGAGGCTGACACCAAACGTATACACTCTACGTTCATTTTCCGGCGCCAAGCTAATCTCAAAGCATGCGTCTTGCCACGTGGATAGTCGTATCTTGTGGCACCATGCCAAAATGAAAGCCATTGAATTTGTATGTTCCAAAGGCTCAATGGCATTTTCCGGCACTCTTTGTCACAGTGCTGTGGATGTGTGTTTGCGCATTCCGGCACCAAACCAGCACCACTTACGCCATAGTTACATAGTTGCATGTTCCGTCACCAAAGCCGTAACAGACAATGAAGGAGTAGTCACAGAAAGGATTAGTGCTTCTTTGGCTGGCGTCAAGCCCATGAGGGGCAACAAGGGCATGGTGATTGCCAAGGCCAAGCCAAAAGAGAGCACAGCAAATATGCGCGCAACATACATAGTATTTCCGGCACGGAACAAAAAGAAGAAACAACACGAATATGCGGTACGCAATGGCAGAAAGACTTGCAGCAACCGACCTGCTCTCCGGCAGCAACCAATGACAGCATTCTGCAACAGCATCCTACGCAACTCTTCTCTTTCGCAGTCGCCGGCAGCCCCTTCAACAGCACCCTGAGCAGCAGCACCAACAGAAGATTCTTCTCGTCTCACTTCTAAGCAGCGCAAGCCAGCAACAGCACAAGCCGGCAGCGGCACCTGCAACAGCATGCTGCGCAACGGCAGCCTGCACAATTCCTTGTCACACCCTGCAACGGCACCTTGTGACGGCACCCGGCAACAGCACCCTGCACAACTCAGCCACACAAACCGGCAGCACCCTGCCAATGCAACAACGGCACTCTGCCAAAAGCATCTTGTGCAAATATTGCGTCGCACCTTTGCATTTGAACTTAAGGTCCCTAGAGCTTTGAGGTATCTGGGGGGAGTCAACTTCAAGCTTCCCATGCAGTGGTCATTCGCTGGCACTTGGCTCGGCACTCCGCAACTGGGAGCTGGACCCGAGGTGCACAAGGTGAGCACATGGAGAACTACCAGGCAGAGCAAATCCTCGGCAAAGCGGGTTGGGCCAGCCATTGTGCAGATGGCTTGTTTAGTTTGCATCACAGCCTTTGTTGCTATTGGACCTGAGGAAAGGCAAGAGCAAGCAGTGACTGGGCATGGGGGCTGAGGTTAGACTCTACTTCGCAGCTGCTGTGTCAGCTTTGGGGGGCACAACCTGCAGCCAGGAGATATTTGCCGGCAGCCTTCTTACTGCTGAGGTGCGGCAGCGTATGTTTGTGTGTGGTCCTGTCTACGCTGTCCGTGTGCAACTTCATTGGTTGGATTTTCCAGTCCTACTTGAGCCCCTCAAAAGCACAGACAGATGTGAGGGGCTGCCTGAAGTTTTGACTTTATATTAATATGATTTCAATATGGCCGAGGAAACTGACCTGCCTTTGGATTTATCCACAACCCCAATCTCTAATCGCAAGGCAGGAAAAGAAGCTTGCTTGTGCTTTGCATTGCACGTTCCGGCCAAAATAATTCTAAACTTATTTTGCTACTGGTGCTTGTTTTTCCTTGCTGAATTGCAGCTGCACAAGTGTGCACGATTCAAGTGTCTCTTCACTTGGGATTTCATTGAGGATGTTCCTGCTTGGAACCCCCTGAAGAGCGGCATGACGTCAAAAGCGGATGAAAGGCGAAGAGACCTTTGCAAAGTTGTTCTCCCGCAGGCTTTTGCCGTACAGCTTACAAGTAGCCAGCCATCCGCTCCCGCCTCGTTAGCTATGCAGACCAGCACTCGCAACTTGGCAAAGTTGCTTCCAGTGTGCTCAAAGCGGCAGAGGTTCAAAGTTCTTTGTAGGGGGGTGGGCCTGGGAGGACGCAAGATGGCCGGTAAGATGTTTCCTGGAACGTGGCAGTGACTGTCGCACATGTGCGCCAAAGTGGCAAGCAAGGTCGAAGTCATGCCCCATCAGGCGGCGCAGAACCCAATCGCACGTGTTTCAGATTCCTAGGGGTTTTTCCCTTTCCCTCACAGCATCTCCGGCGTTGGATTCCAGAGCTCTATCTCCTTTGAGCTTAAGGTGGAATCGTTGGTTTCCGCGAATCAGTTGGGATCTCAGGCTGCTTGCTTCTGGCTGCCCTTGCGGTCGTGCCTTGGCAGTATTTGGGGCAGACCGCGGCTGGCCTGACGGAAGCACGGGCGCGCCCCTCTTGGGATGGTCGAAGTTCTTCATGAGTGGGCGAGGGGTGACCAGTGACCTGCTAGAGCTCACCCCAGTCAACAAACAAGGGCCTTCTCAGATGGCAATAGGATGAAGATGAAGCGGTTGCACATCTGCTTGCCCCACAAATCAGCCAGCCCCAGAGAGAGCGCGTGCTTTCTGTACTTCACTAGGCAGCGAGTGACTCTTGGGCGGGTGGACTGTACCACGTTGCGAAGTGAACTGAGCTTTTGCTCCGGAATTGATCACGGCGAGCAGCTTGATTCACAGCGCGGCCACCACTCCAATTTTTGGTGCCGCTTACTTGTGCCATGCTCGCGGGCGTGTTCTAAGGTTGGGACACGCCACTGGGAGCCTAGTGTGTTTTTCAACAACCCCCTGTTTTGAGAGACCCACCGCCCCCAGCTCCGCCCTGCCCCTCCCTGCCCATTCCAAGTCGCCAGGCCTCCACCGCCTTTTTGCACACGCGGGCGAGCTCCCCGGTGACCCGGAATGCCCGAGGTGGTGAGCAGTCGGGCATCTTCCAGGCATGGCCGCGGGGCCTATTGAAAGCACCAAATCTGCAGTTCCAACTCTAGCTTCATGTGTGTCCTTGTGGCACTGCCGGCATGGTTTTCCGAAAACGATCCCCTTTGGGCGAGAAAGCCAGCCAGTCGCAAAGACGGTTCTGGCTTTGCTTGGCGTTTTGGGAGGTCCAATGGTTGGGGTGTGGGAGCAAGTTTTGGGCCAGGCGAGCGCAAAGGCGCCAGAGGCGGCCTCCAAGGGCCACCTGGCGCAGAGTGACGTCCGAGCTGCAAAGTCCGAGTTTGCTTCAGCTGAAAAGCCCAGTTTGGGGACCATGACTGGCGCGTCACCCGCTCCCTGTGCGGAGAGCGGTAAGGTGACGGAAAGGGCCTGGAGACCTTGGTGACTGCTTTCTTCGGTGGCGTTGTAGGCGTGGCGTTGGGAGGCTGTACAGGGGACATGGGGTGACACGGCGATTTGTATGCATTTGCTTTGGGTGTGGTCTTTGCCCGCCTTGTGGGAAGGTCTTGGAGTGGCGGTGGCCAAGACCATCGAAAGCATGGTCAACAAGAAGGCCCGCCAACTGCCCCACCGGAGATTCAGCTTGCCCCAAAGGCTTTCCAGATTGCGGACAGTTGCAAACCTGAGCGCGGGCTGTTTGCGTGATACCAGGCACTTTGGGTGGCTGCGTCTCTCTTGGAAAAGTCCATGTTGAAAGAAATTACGTTTACGTGCCACTTCGGTAGCTGGCAGTTGGATTTGAGGCAAGTTTGTGCGTGCTCTGGTCAGGCGGAGAAGCCTGTGTGGCATCCCTCTCAGGAGCCTGGGGTTCCTTCAATTCTCAGTGAGCCGGAGTGGGCGTGCTTAAATGTACAAGTGGGTGGGACGCGCAAACACGTGGTGTCCCTTTTGTGCATCGAAGCGTGGAGTTTGCGATGCTTTTGCGCTCAGAAAGCCAGGTGGGCACTGTTGGGGCTGAACCATCATGCAAGAAGGAAAAACGGACAGGCAGTGCGGGCAGAGGCTCGGGTTGAAGCCAAATCCATTCCGCATGCTCTCCAGATAAAGGGAGAATCAACACACGTCAACTATTTGACACGTGTGAGTCACGCAGCTTCGCTGCTGAGGCAGTAGCAACACAGATGGGAAGCAGTCCGTGCTTCGAGGGTACGACGCGTTTCTCGTACCATGAAGGCTTTACCATCCCCCCTCACCCCCGCATGCGTCCGAGGAGGTGGGCAACATCTATCCCATTGGCTATTTTGATCCCTTGAAGCTTGCGAAAGACGAGCCTTGGCTTTGCAATGCAGCTCATGGGGTTGCTGCGATTGTACCATTTGCGCTGGGGGACATCACCATGCAGACTGAACCTGCCTTACTAAGTAAGTGTTGGGGCTGGCTAGCTTCATGGTCCAGCAAGCTTTAGACGTTGCCCCTTCGGTACAAGACGAATCATTTGTTTGGCCCCATGTCATACGCGAGGCCTCGCTCGGAAGGAGGATCAATCTAACAATCAGTAGTGGGTTCTTCATGCCGTGGGTTTAACCGCAGCTCAGGAGAAGAAGTTCCGCCAGTTCCGCATCGCGGAGATCAAGCACGGCCGTGTCTTGCCTCTGAAAGCTCAAACCTGCCCTGCCTGCGCCGTTTGCGCCCTCAAAGTTCACAGATTTGACTCAAGCAAGTGCCTCCCTGGTGAACAAAGGAAGCATTCGACTGTGAAATGCGACCAGCTCAGGTGTCGCTATGATGGCTGCAGCTGGCGCCGTTGTTCAGCACTACGCCGCCTGGAAGACAGCCGGCCAGGCAGTTATACAGAAGCGTGTCCAGCCTTCCACATAACCACAATTCATGCGACTGGCAACGGGGTTGTTAACTCTCGGCATTTGAGGTGAAGCTGCCCCCCTTCAAGGAGCTCCCATCTGGAGTGCAGGTTTTGCAGTCCACGGAAGGCACGGGACAGGATGACAGCAATGGGCACTTAAAATGCGTGTTGCACAGCCATGGTGATGGTGCGCGTGAATCAACGTTTGCGTTTCTTTCCTTCTGGTGGTGTTGACCCCATGGAATGCTTGCCCAGGCCAGATTGCATTTGGCTCATTGGTTGCTGCCTGCGGTTTGGTGGAGCTCTATGTGTGGCGTCAGGCGGGCTGCTGCCCCAATGTGCATCCCTTCAGGTTTGGATTTGTGAGAAAACAGGCGCTATGCCTGGAGTTCTGCCATCCATTGAAGGTTCACCTTTGTTTGTCTTCCTTTTGGGGTTGCTGGATGTGTCATATTTAGCAGGCCGCTGACCCCAATACTGTGAACATTTGACAGGCGGATGACAAGGAGCCGGGGAACTTCGGGGACCCCGCCAACTGGACTCAGACCGGCCTTGGCGGAGGCGGGTGCCAGCTTTGAGTCGAGGTAACTGAGGCTAAAGAAAATAACCAGCCGCAGGCGAATGACCAGCGTTCAAGTCTCCAGGCAAATGTGCGCTCGGGCTTCCGCTTAGGCGCCTACAACGAGGAGAACCGCGAGCGTGAGATCGTGAACGGCCGCTTCGCTATGCCGCCAAGCTTCGATTGGCTGCCAGAGGCAATCACTTGTGACATCGGCAACCTCTGATTGATTGGAACCCCTCCCCCCCTCCCCCCCTTCCCCCCTCAACAATGGATCCCCTTACAACAGATGATCTCCCCCCAAAGAGTGTAAGAATTGGGTGGTGAGATTCTTTTTGATTTGGTGCTGCCGGTGCTTCCTTTTCAGATTAGATTTGAGGGATTTGCGTTTCCTTTTGAGTGCGTATTTGCGGGATTTGAGTTTCCATTTGAATTTGTATTGCTGGATGGGATTCACCACAGTATTGCTGGATTTGAGTTTCCATTTGATTGAGCATTGCTGGATTTGAGTGTCCATTTGATTTAGTATTGCTTGATTGGATTGTCAATTTGATTTAGTACTGTTGGATTTGAATGTCCGTTTGATTTTAGAAAATTGTAGTGTTTGGTATGTGTTTGGTAGTTTGGCTGGGACCTAGGCAAAGCTTGTTGAACCCAACCAGATTTGAGATAAGATTCAATCATCCCTGCTTGAGCCTTCAGGGCTGAACATTTGTGTGTTTTGTGTCTCTTTCTCCCCTTTGTGAACTTGAATGTCATATGAAACTGTGTAAAGAAGTTTGAGTTTGGCGCTTGTTGGGTTTTCTGGGAATTGTGGTCTTGACTCTCCCTTTGTTAAAGCTCAATGTTGTCTTGGGCTTCTTGAAGTCTTTGGAGTGGAGTTTGTTTTGGCTTGATTGCGGGTTCTGTGTTTCTGTTTGGGGGGAGGGGATGTCAGTGGTCATTATGTTGGGATGCTTAGGGGATTGCAGATTTGTCTCGGGGAGCTGGTCATTATTTAGGGGGAGTCTTTAATCACAGGTTGCCATCAAGCGCTTCAAGCTGGAAAGCATGGCCAGGCCGCAATTTTGCTGCCTCGCTTGGGACGTGTGGAATGTTTAGTTCGCAGTGCGTGGGTTCAAGACTGGCCCCTTGGTCCGGTCATCAACCCTGCAGTGCGGCCTAGACAAAGTTTCCCAACATGGGAGTCAGTGACCAGCCCCTCAAACAGACTCTTGGCTACAGCACGCGTGTCAGTCCTAGGCTGTCAGTGCTTGGCATTTTTGCGGCCGAACTCGCCACTGGCAAGGCGGGCAAAGCTTCTGCCAACCTTGCACGGAGCTTTGGTATTTGACATTTTGTCATGATAATTTAGGGCCCAATATAGCCAAAGAAACCAAGTAAATTTCCAGTCCATGTGGCAATGGGCTCCTGAGTGGTCACGGTTTCAAACCTGGGCAACTCCGGGAGCATTTTGCCATATATTTCAACTGACTCTGAGCCATGTTACGGTGACATGAGGGTGTGCATGGTTTGGTCCAGCGTCCGGGGTGCCATACCACGCATGAGAGCAATAACGGGCACAACCACTCTCCGAGTTGGCCCGAAGGACGCCATCCAGCAGATCACCTTCAAGAGCGTCATGTAGGCGCGGCTTGTCCTCGGAAGCCCCGGGAGTGGGTGGCTCCTGGTGGCCATGCTTTGCACTTGAAGCGAAAACAAAGTAACAAAGCAAAGCGAAGTGCAAAGCTACGCTCAGACATCCAAGCAGGTAATCTTGAATGACTGCGTGACGGGAGAGTAGGGAGAGTAGAACACATATCTTCAAGCATTGGCTCGTTCTGAGTTTGCTGCACGCTGCGCGCAGAGAGTGCAAATAATATTGCCGAACCTGTCCGTGTGCAGCAAGCGCGACTCCAGCGTGTGCGCAGGTCAGGCTGCTGTGCGTGGCTTTACTTGGCATCTCATGGCCCAGGTTACCAAGAACGTTGAGGTCAGAACATGGCCAACCAGCTGCCCAGAACAGCAAAGAGGAGACGACTGCAGGCTCAAGAGCTTGCTCTCTACTTTGTTGTTGACACCCGATGGCTTGTGGCTGAATCAGCCACTGATCCTACTTGGGCTGTGTAGAGATTTTTCCAAGGTCACAGGAGTCGGGCCCATTCAAGCATTTCCGCTAGTATTGCCGCATGAACCAGCCTGAAGTACAGAAATTGTTGCATGTGGCCCGGGCGATTGAAGATATACGATGCTTGAGTGATTGTGTGCGCGTGCCTCCTGCTCAAAAATAGGGCCGGTCCGACTCCTTGCACACAAGCGCTGTCACCACGTAGGGCGACTAGCTTTTCCCACCCAGTGGGAGACAACCAAAAATGCATCGGTCTCCTGAGGACGCGGGGGTCAAGGTTAGCAAAGGCATTGCGGGAGGGCCTCAGACCGAAGCTTGGCCTTGCTCGCCACTTTGGCAGCGCACCCAGCGCTAAGAGCAAGGCTGCTGGCTGGCTTTGGCCTGCCTTTTGGGCCAGGGAGCTTTCGCAAGCACCCTGGTGCCTATACTTTTTGACTTCTTTATGAGTTAAAGACAATTTCAAGCCCTGATCCTTGGAGGCGGATGTTGGGCTGAGGAAGTTGAGCGGACATTCACAGCGAATTTGATATCCTCAGCTGTCTCCTGCCTCCTGCTTGGATCAAAAGCACGCATCAAGCGCAGACACGAAGCGACGACAGTCAAAACCAGTCGAGCAGCTGGCAGGGCGGCCACGGTTGGAAAGATGACAAATGTACTGTTGCCGGCTTACATGAACTACGTCAGCTTTGAAACGAGCTCACCCATGATGGCCCCTGACTGGGGATTACATGGTGTCGTTCTGTTGCCTCTTTTTTTGTTCACTCCCGTCACGACCGTGGAGTTGCCAGGTGCGCTTTGCACTAGAGACACTCCGAGAAGGACAGTTTGGAGGGTGGCAGCCTGTCATTGAGCGCAGGTGCTTGTCAGCTTGTTGATGACGACTTGCAGGGCCCATGTCAAAACCTTAACCAGTCCTGCTGGCGGAACTACCTTGCGCCTCAAGACGTCATTATCATGAGCTGCCTCCCAACATTGCCGGACACTGATGCAGGATCATGTTTCATTTGCAAGTTCTTCGACACGTTCACGCACGCCCCAGCCTTGTTGTGCTTCCTGTTTGGGCTTGTTGGGCAGAAGCCCCAGGGCCCCCAACAGCTAAGCAACAAAGCAGAAAAAGATCCATTGCCGCACGATCGCATGGCCCTTTGCTTGCACCAGAACTGTTTCCACCAGCACAGGGCGTTGCATTGGGCTTCATTTGGTGAGCAGATTTGGGCCTTGCTTTTTGTGAACCATGCCTGAGGTTAGTTGTGGCTTGCTCTACGTTGCTATGGCCTTAGAGGGCTCGCCCTTTCGCCAATGATATGTGCGATGCATGTGTTGCGATGCCAAGCATGTGGGCACCGAGTGTTTGACTCCGTGTCTCTTCAGATTTTGCTCATTGCTCAGGTGGCAGCTTTGTTCGAAGACGTGAACGTTGTGAAGCCTTTGCACAGCCGGGTGGTGAATTCAGAGTCGGCGGGCTGAGATTGCCTGTGCTCGCATGAGCAGTCATGACTGACACATCTGACCAGGATGCACGCAGACAGCAGCAATGAGAAGCTCACACTCTTGTGACTGCAATTTGGCTCTATGAGCAGGGAGCTTATTGCTAGAGACGCGAAGCAACTAGCCACCATGAAGGCCTATGAAGAAACCCCTTGAAGCGATCTGTTGGTTTTCCTGCCGGCCTTGTCAGAGGAAATCCAAATGAGCTGGCCCCCCCCAAAAAAAAGGCGGACCCGGCAAGACTTTTGGGCCGGGACAGTCGCATTTCGCTTGACTTTAAACGATGTTACTTTCGACAGGGAGACCTCAAGGCGATGGTTGTTCCAATTGTGTTTGGACCCATTTAGCAGCCTTGGGCCGCCTTTGCCTGCGGGCATGGCCTTCCGCCTGGCGCGGCTGGCAAAGGCCGTACCATGGGTTCAGCCAATGAGGACGAGGGCCCTTGTTGGGACGCCATTCATTGTGTCCTATGCAGCCTTTGGGGGGGGTACTGAAATCAAAGCCCCAGATTGTGCTTCACTGCTTCAAGCCGCGGTGGGTAAACTTGTGTTTGCTCCGTATCCTGCAGGGTTCGATTTGTAAATAGAGAAGCGTGCGCATGGCGCGCGTAAAAACGAGAAGGAAGAAAGACACACGTTGCCATTCCATGACTTTGCGCACCTGCAAGCCAGCAGAAGGAAGCAATTCTGCAATTCCATCGCCGGCCAATCGTGACTCGCCCTCCCATTTCAGGTGGCCGCCCCTCGCTTGCGCCACTGCGCAGCTGTCACGCAGGTGGGCCGCTTTGATTTTGCATGGGGCGGGCCTGTCCGCACTTGAAGTGCGTTCATGAAGGCTTCAATGTGGAAGTTGGACAGCGGTTTGGCCTTTCATTTTGCGAGCACCCACAATATGACAATAAGTATAGGCAAGCAACCTGAGCCCCCTTCTTTACCATTCCTTCCCCGGGAAGCTGGCGACTGTGAACGTGCACAAGCCGTGAATTTTTGGCAATCCCTTTCACGGGCAAAGCATGTCTGGGTACTCGAACTCGCTGCCTGAGCCCCAGAGAGTCCCACAGGTACAGCTGAGTGTTGCTGTGGAATCCGAGGCGCCCCAGCCACAGACTGCCAAGGAGGCGAAAAGCCAGGACCCGCAGGCGGCGAAGCGCAAAGCGTGCGGGCAACTGGCTGGGGCATAGAGTTCAGGGTAGGGGCAAAGGGAAAAGAATAAATCCAAAAGATGACGTGCCCATGCTCAAACCGACAGATGGTCCGATAGCTTTCACCGAATGAATCAAATCAGAGGCCAAGCAAAGCCAAGCAAAACATGTCGAGTTACATTGTGCATGGATTCTCATGCATTCATAAGCTCTTGTGTGCGCCAACTGATCAAGGCGGAGATTCCGGAGGAGGTTTCCGAACTGTTCGACACCTTGCGGGGAGAGGCCATGCGACGCCACTAGGCTTGCCAGTCGACGCCTTGAGTTTGTTGCCCTTGGCACGAATTGCCACCAGACCCTGGCCAGTTCTACAGGACTCGTCATGAAGCGACATTTGCGGATCGTCATGGCTATCCTTGCCACATGTTGAGGTTGGGCATTGCCCAAGGCAACCTGACGGTATGCCCCAAGGTTTGGATGACTTCCAGCCCATCCATCTATTCTCCTTGTGCTGGGCATACTCGACAGTAGCCCGGCAAAGGCAGATGCGCAGTTCGGGATGTGCTGATTTGGCAGTTGTGGCGCTGCGGGCGTGGGGGTGCCTCACCAATAACAAAAAGGGACCTTTTGCAACGGCCTGGTTGCCATGCTTGATCGTTCTTCACACCAGCGTTGAGGACCCTGGAAGGCGCACACCTCGTGCTCCGAGCAAAGTACTGATTTCTTGAACATGTCACTTGCTGATTTAGATCCGGTCAAGGCGTCCTGAAAGCATAGCCTCAGGCGAGGCTCCTGGACGAGGAGATGCAGAAGAGCATCACTGCGGCGGCGCTGCGTTTGGGCCGTGCCCGCGATGCCAAGGCGGCAAAAGCGGCAGAGGCACAGGCGGAGGTGGCAGACGTGCCGGAGGCCAGGTCGGTGAACTGAAGCTGAGTGCCTGGCCTGTTGAGTGATGAGTGCTGGAAGCTTTCACGAGGGGATCTTTCGCCCGTTCAATCTGGCGACCTGCGAAAGCTTGCCAATGCTGAGGGCGAGTTCTGGCAGCCGTCCGCAGAGGGTACCTTGGAGAACCCGCGGGTGGTGAAGGCAGCTTGGGCCAGTGGAGGTGTTTTTCCAGGATTGACATTGACGTTGCACTGGGAGCATCCCCCAGTGCCCATCTCCAGCATATATGGTTTTTTTTGCCTGCTTGGGACTGCTGTTAGGTTTTGTCCGCGAACCAGCCAGGCATGAACAGAATAAAAAAATGGCTTTCAATTGTTTGACGCTTTGCGCCGTGCTGTGCGTTTGTTTCCTTTGGTCAGAGCGACGGCTGGGACGACCAGCGAAGATTTTGTTGCATGCTTGTGGCGAAAGCTGGCCTCGAATAGGCTTTGCATTAGGTTTGCATACATGGGGGAATGGGGTGGCAAGATTCTTAGATTGGGGCAGATTTGGGCGTCGTGGTGCCCATCTGCCCACCAGAATAGGACAATGGAGCTGGCACACTAGGAATTCCATGGATGCACTTGGCAGATGCTTGAGGCACAACAAGGGGCTTCAATTTTCACACTGTCAGGGGCTGGACTGGTTTTCAGCACGACGTGGGGCTGCTACAAATCGCCCGTTGTGTCTGTTTGACATTCCTCGAGGAAAGGGTTTGTCCAAAGCAAGGCAGATTTGCTTCATTCTTGCCTGATAGCTCCGGAAGCCAAAGAAGGCTCTGTGCTGTTTGGCTGATATCTGGATGCCTGGGGCCTCTAGCTGGGCTCATGCGTTCTCCCTTGTAGGCCACGGATCACTGGATGGCCATCTTCAAGCCTGCGCATTGGCAAGTGTCTGTCGATGCCAAAGAGGCCGGCGCCCAGTGCTGCCGGAAGGTGACAAAGTATCAGATTCAGATCCAAAAGGATCACAAAAGTGCATCACAAGTGATCCACTTGGTTGTTTGGTAGGGGGTGCGCCCTGGTCGGTTTGACTTTGATGAACAAAAAGTGTCAACTGTCCTTTTTCCAGTCTCGGCAGGCGACCCGCATGGCGGCAGCTTCGCCTTTTGAGGATGAGGAGGAAGGCGAGGAGGAGGGCACTGAGCGACCAAAGATGCAGGCGCGACGGCCGCCGCTTCGATGCTGTCCAAGATGATCTTATATAAGTGGGATTGATGTGATGTGTTTCAATTCAGGGCTACGTTGGGTTCATAGGTGACGACCAGGGGTCCGTCTTGGTCATAGCTTGCTTCTTGGCACGCACCTTGCAATCAAGTGCTGGACAATCCGCCGCCGTAGGCACGTGTCATGCCTGAGGGAAGATTGTGTTCCCCCGATGCATACGCAAGAGCAGCTGCCCTTGAAAAAAACAGCAAGCCGCCGCAGACCTGGATCCTCAAGAACATGTCGCAGAAGTATCCGCACCTTGGTTTGCTGACAATGCGTTGCAGCATGCCAACCGGCCAGTCATCACCGATTCTATTTGCAGGAATATTGTTGAAGTTTCTTGCATTGACCGAGTTGCTGTGACCAATGTTGGGAGGGGGTTCGGAGGTGAAAGGGCAAGATTTCTTAGCACGGATGGGCAAAGAGTGTCAAGAGGATCTCAACACAAAGCTAGGCAACTTGCAAGCACCCCCTCCCGCGGCTCCATTGGAAGACTTCCCCCTTGCGAGCAGGTTCCCGACCTATTCCAACCAACGCTGTGCAAATCTTGGAGCTTTTGGTTGGAAGCTCGCTACGTGCGCATCAGGATCTGCACTGATGCAACCGAAGCCTTCGGGCTGCTGCACCGCCTGGATGCGCAAACCAGCGGCGTGCTGGTTTGCGCCAGGAGCTACGAAGGCCCGAGCTGCTGTATGATTCTACCCCCTGCCAACAGGAGCCACGCAATTTGTCCAGCCATTAGGGAAGTGGGCAGTAGGCATTTGAGGGGCCAGGACGGTAGTTGTTTAACACTTCCTAGCAGCTTCAAGTGGAGAAAAGAGAGTAACGGGTAACGCTCAGGAATGTTGGGTGTCAACATGTGTTGAAATCCTTGCGGATGTCAGTTGAAGATGCCCAACCCAACTAAGCACACAGAAGGTCAAACAAATCCACCGGCCATATGTGGGTTTGAGGGCTGATGAGTGCCTGCCTGGAAATGGGCGCCGGATGCAGGTGAGAACAGAATCGACAGTCCATCATTTGGGTAAACTTCCATGATTTGGACATCAATGATGGTGCCACCCTCCTCCCCCTCCTCCAAAAAAATGAAATGCGACTTCCATATAGTTCAATCATGCTGAGACACAGTGTGTGTCTTCCCGTAACTAGCCTTCCAGTCCTCTCAACTGCTCGCTGCTGCAGTCTTCCCAAGTCCTCCTGTAGTCTTCCCCCATCCCGTAGTTGTCCCGTCGCGCGGCAGTCTTCCAGTAGTCCTCCAATGCCTCTGACAGTCCGAGTGGTACTTAGCAGAAACGCATTTCCCATTGTTGCGGCCCCTGCCAAATTTGATAGTCCCCTGCGGGCTTGTAATTCTGAAAGTTAGCGGGAGGCTTGGGAGTGGCAGCCCCCACGATGTGTTGCAACGGGGCCTTGTCTACAATCTTCGCGGACTACCCTAGGTGAGGGTAACATGTGCTATGGTCAGTGGGCAGCGCGCAGAGTTCGCCGATGCGTCCGCAGGTGCCTACTGGTTGCGATTGCAGTGGTGCCAGTATGCGGTGGACAAGGAGCAACTGGTCGAGTTAGTCTCAGGCCATCAGAGACATAAGTGGTGTTGCTTCAAGGTTCGTAGGGAGGCTTCGTCCTGGCAGATACGCTGATGGCCCAATCGCCGGGGAAGGGGACCCTCCAACTGGTTTTGTGTTTCGGTTTGTTGGTGAAATGAAGGCTGGCCCAACAACGGTCCCCTGACCCGTACTTGGCTGAGGTACGTTTGCTTGGTCCACGGCTGGGTGGACCGTTCAGAGCGGGAGATCCACAAGCGTATCCGTGCCCTGGCCGGGGCAAGATGACCGCGTGTGTTTCAGACGCGCGGGGTCAGACCAGCTTGATTCTAAATTTGTGCGATCCGTTTTGCCACAGGGTCACAGGAAGGCTAAGAATACATTCAGTCAGATGTCAGATGCTCGGCCGTAGGCGTCCCTTTTAGGTTGGCATTGTTTAAGATAGATGGCTTTGGTTTCAGGTTGGTTCAAGTAATTTGGCAGTGCCATCTAGTTTTCCACAAGGACAAGTATGCTCGACCAAATCTAGCCAACTTGCATGCTCGTAGGCTTTTTCTGTGCCACCGCAAATCAAACGGTTTCCATTGGCAAGTAGCAAGGTCATGTACAAAGACAGCTGTAAGCTCTAACCTTTCTGGAATATGCTTTGTATGGCAGCTCGGCTTTGACCTCAAGTCGAGTCAAGCCCCAACCAGTTTTGCGTTCGAAGAAAAATGCGGATGATCAGGCTTTCGGCAAGGGGTTCCAGCTGCCCCAGAGACAAGCTGCGCCTTCCACGGTTTAGAAAGACGCTTGCAAACTCTGAGTCTTGAGTATCAGCCTTTGCGCATTCCATTGACAGGCGGTGGTAGGCGCAGTGCATTCTCCAAAGGGACTGGCTGCATTAGATTGTCAAGCACCGCACTGCGTGCTTCGTTTCAGTCACGAAGCGTGCAGCCACCCCCAGGTTGCCCAGGTTGCCGCGCCGTAAGATATGTCTCTTCAGCGCAGGACGCGGATAGGGCACCGGCACGTTTGCCAACCGTTGGCCGTGGAGTTTTGGCTCAATCCCACTGCTTGGGAGCCATGGCCAAGCGGCAGGCAGGCGGATTCAAGAGCAAGCAGTCGGGCGAACGGCTTGGCCATTTCGAGTGGGCAAACATTGGTCTTGGGCATGTCGGGAGGGTCCAGGTAGCTGATGCCTATGTTTGTTCCCTTGGTTCTGTATCCACTTGCCACGTAGCTTCAAGCTCGAAGGGCGCCTGCGAGAGGTCAGCGTGGCCCTGCTGGGCCCTGAGGGCTGCGGCAAGACCACGGCGCTGGCGAAGCTGTGCGACCTGCAGGGCGCCTTCAAGGCGGAAGAGCACAGCCAGTGCCAGGCGGGAAAGTGGGGAGCAGATTCGTGGCAGATTGAAGGCACTGAATGTGAGCCGGAAAAGTTCTTGGATGGCATTCGCCGTGCAAAAGTGTCCATGACATTTGGGCCATTTGGGTAGCAACAGGATCTGGCCTGGGAGCTGGGTCGACCAGCTTACCGCCATGGCTGGATGCTGGACCGTTTGCGAGAAGAAAGCGTCTTGGCCTAGGCTTGGCTGCTGACGGGCTTGTACAGAGCGGGGCAACTTTGCTTTGGACGGAACTTCCCAGCACGTGACGCATGCAAGGCATGATGGTGCGTGTCCAGTGCCTGGAGCATGCGTTGTTTCTGCCAGCCTGCTGCAAGTTCCAAACCACGGGCAAGCAAATGATGAACGGCATCAGCCTGCCCATTGCGTTGTTCTCAGTTCAGCTGACAGCAGGCTGCCCGGACACTCAACTTGTCAACAACTTCAAGGGAGTTGTCTCAATGCTGTCTTTCTTTTTTCACTGCTGGACATTGGTGATGCGTTTTCTCCTAGTAGGCCCGGAGGCCGCCGCGGGGTGATCATCATTTCCGAACGCGAACGCATTCGTGCCCAACCCGTTTGCCGCTATAGTTTGCAGCTGATTGTTACATCCAACAATCAAGAAACCAAGTTTGCCACTTAGGAGTGACGGAGCCTGAATTTTGAATTATCAAGGTTGGTGTTCAGCGTATCCTTCCTTTTGCTTGCATTGGTGCCAGCTGGTTCCCGGCATGGGAAGCGCGTGCCCAGGAGAGCTGGGGTCCACGCTGGTGCCGGGCCTCCAGAGCTTTCAGTCCGAGAGTTGCAGCTATTCCGCCTTCGACACGCCTGGCCGGGAGGCGGGGATTACCCGATGGCCAGCCCAATCAATTTCCAATTTCCCTATGGACGGGCAAGTGGGGATGGGAGACGTTTCAGGGCCGTTGGAGAGGGGGGGTGCGTGTTCCATGTAGGCGGGTGGCAAAAGGCGCGGCGATAGCCGCTCTCTTCGGAACTTGCGCAACCAGTTTCAAAACTACAGCCGGTGCAAGACTGTTTGGTTTTGTTCCCGCGGTGACAGGGAAGGTCAACATGTGGTGTCCCATGATGGGAACCCTGGTTGGTGAGTGCTTGTGGCATCCCTGTACAGTGGCAACATAGTATAGAGAATTACGTGACATGCCGCAGGCGCCGACCTGCGGCACCGCACCTGTTTACTGGAACAAGCGGGAGAGAAACACCGAATGTCGCCAGGATGGCTTGCCATGTTTGATTAAGCAGGATGTTTGTTTGCGCCGCTGGTCAAGAAGATGAAACATGAAACCCATTGTCTTGCTGTGGTGTCATACTAATTTTCCATTTCCTGGTCATGTTGTGACATCTCTTGCAGAGCATCAACCCATAGTATTCACGATGATTGCCTTGGTACAGGGTTGATATATGGTGACACATGCCTTGTGTTACCCCACCCTTGCACACATCGTGGTACATGTTCGTCAAGGCTTCTTCCAGATCTCATTCACACAGCTACTGTACCTTGTTTTTTAGTTACTTAGTTTCCACGGGCTTCCTCAAGCATTTCTTTGAGCAAGCATCTCATAAGCAGCTCTTTGCACCCATCCCCCCCCACCTCCCAGACACCCACACACCCCTCGCCGGAAGGCCCTGGCGGCCAAGTTCCTGAGCGCTGCCTCCCTGGCCGACGTGGCGGTGCTGGTGGTGTCGGCGGCGGCCGGGGAGTGGGAGCTGGCCGCGGAGAGCGGCAGAGTCAAGGACCGGACCGGCCATGGGCCGAGGGGGGCCTCTGAGTCAAGAGACGCGGGGTGGACGCATCGGGCCCTCAAGCAGATGTTCAGGAGTTGGCGCTGGATAGTTTCACCATGGGCATCAAGCTGCTCGGCTTGCAGCATTCTGGTCATCCTGCGTCACCAGGGCGAACAAGCTTTCAAACAACTGTGGTGCGAGAGGGGTCCGGGTTGCCCAGCTTGGCCCAGGAACGTCGTAGTGTGGGTCACCAAAATGGATGACTTCACCGTGCAGTTCAGCCAGTCCAGATATGATGAGATAAAGAAGGCGGTGCCAGCCTTCCTGAAGGACGTAGGCTACAAGCTGAAGGACTGAACCAATGTAGCGGGACGCACCGCACTGACATTGTTTGATCTATTTTGGAATGGTTATAGTATGTCTCACTGTATTGACTGGGGGCCGGGGGTAGTATGTCAGATAGTTTTTTCTTGGTTGCTTCAAAGGGAAGCCAAAGAAAAAACCACCCTTTGTGGGGTTTCTTGTTTTCAGACAAGCCCACTAAAGAAGAGCTAGCTCGCACGTGTTCATGGATGTTTCTTTGCAGGATGTGCCGGTTGTGCCCATAGCCGGCCTTTCGGGGCAAAATTTGAACGCCAAGTCCACCGAGATGCCGTGGTACGCCGGCCACTCCGCCTTGGAATCCCTGGACGCCCTGGGGGAGATGAACCGGCCGGCCGAGTCCCGGCAGAAGCCAACAAGCCTGATAAGAGTTGTGCACGTGCAGGCTGTCTCTGGAACGATTGGGGGTGCAAATCTGGATTTGTGGGCTTTGGCCGATCTCCAGGCGCACAGGGCATATATGTGGCCGTTTGGGTGGGGGTGGGCTAGGGCGGGCTGACCTGCTTACTGGCTGTAGCGTTGACCCTCCATATAGTTGGATGGAGCCCCCTGTGCAAGGGAGAATGCTCTGATGAAAGGATTCTTCTTTGCAAACCTGCGGGCGTTCCGAATTCCGAGCCAAGGAGAAGCCACTGAGATTGCCAGTGCTGAAAGTGCATGACCAGCCAGAGGCTGGACCAGTAGTTATAGGTCGCGTAGAGACCGGGACCATCAGACCCGGCATCAAGGTCATTTTCGCGCCTGGCGGCCTTGTTGCGGAAGTTAAATCCGTGCACAAGGCAGGCGTCAAGGCTTCAGACGCCAGAGAAGGGGAGGTGGTGAGCGTGAGTCTTAGCGACTTGGCTTGGATTCAGTGTTTTCCTGGTCGGTAATTTGTTGTTTCATGTTTATTTCAGACACCTTTGGGCAAGGCTCATGGACCTGTCTTTGTACAGCTTGATGGCCTTCATTGGATTGTGTAGGTCAGTATGTTTCCCCGAACTGATGGCCGTAGTGGATTCATCGGGTCCCAGAAGTGGCAGCTGTCTTTCTGTGAAGGCGCCAATCGCATTCGGATGTGCACCGATTTACGGGTATTTACGGCTTGCCCGGCATTTGCTGAGAGATGGCGTTTTCGCTGCAAACCTCCCAGCTCGACAAGCCAAACTCGTTCGAGGTGGAGTGGAGGCGTCAGAGCTGCGGAAAGGGATGGTGATCAGCGGCAGTACGGACCCTGCCAGCGATGCCGAGACCTTCTTGGCACAGGCACGGCCAGGCTGACACATTCAAACACGGGAGAGCTATGTCCTTTGGTTGACAACTTTGCTGGAAACAGAGAGGTGTCGCGCAAAGAGCGAGTGGACGTGTTTGTTTGAACAAGAAGCCAGCTGATCAGTAACCAGCCGAAGTGCCAAGAGAAGCTTTGTGCGTTGACTCAAGATCTTTAGAGTGCGTTGCTGGAACAGGCAAGTTGTGGTACGAGTGCAAGTTCTTCCTTTTGGCTTCAGATGCAGCCGTGGAAGGGCCTCTGAGGTATGCCCAAGTGAAGCTCAAACATCTTACGTTTGGTCAGGTGGTGGTTTTCGAGCACCCCGGGCAGATCCGTGCGGGCTACTGTCCCGCCATCGCCGTGCACACAACCCAGGCCCGGGGAAAATCGGGGAAGGTTTGCAAGTTCAGCTTGGTTGCATTCCACCATCCTTGGATTGCGTGCGGCTGCCCCATGCATGCAAGGACAGGTGACATACATCTGTCCCAGAACAAGCAAATGTCCGCGGTCTTTCCCAACCCAAGAAATCCAGAATTTGACAAGGCACCCTTTGGGTTGCTCCACTGACCTTGGTGCCAATCTCGGGTGGTTCAAATCTCATCGTCATATGTTTAGCGGGAAAGCGAAACATGTTTTTTATTTTGCGACGGAACAGCCTGACGAGATCGAGGTTATGCATCAGAATAAGGTGGTTGCGTTCGACGCTGCGATTGAAACTTAGGGCCTGTGAAAATGGCTGGTTCCCTTCTGCCTTGCCAAGAGGTGGCCTGTGCCTTTGTGAGTGGCCTGCATCCAGCCCGAAGCCCCCAGTTTCACGAGGCCTCTTGGGAGGCCCATTGAGGACCAGAAGGCTTGACCTGTTGGTCTTCTAGATCTTGTGAAAGTTTGGGCAATCCTTGGAGAAATTGTAGGTGCTCACTTGAGCAAATGCCTTTTGTCTAGCTTGGAGGGTCTACTTACGCATCTGGAGGCTGGAGTTTGCATGCACAGCAGCGTGAAGCCCTAGGTGCTGCTTGCCAGTAGCTGGGGAAGGGGGCCACAGGAATCCATCACTATCCTTCAAAGAGTGCGGCCAGTAGACCAGCGACAAAACAATCGATACAGGGCGGCGATACCTGCAAACCCCGTCACACCCACGGAAATGTCAATCGAAGGAAGTGCTGGGGGTCAACCGCCAATCGGCTTCCAGGTGCCTTGTGAGTTCGAGGAGCTCCTCAGCCGAGTGGACCGTAAGACGGGCAAGGACGCCGAGGCCAAGCCTGCCAGTGCAAGGTCTGGGGAGGTGGCATGGGCCTTAGCGAGTTCTGAAGCCTCCCCTCTATGGGGCTTGCGTGGTTTTCCAAGAGTTTTCTATAGGTTTCTCATGGTTTCCATGATTTCCATTGATTTCCCCGTGATTCCCGCATGGCTTTCTCATGGTTTTCCTGGGTGGCCCAGCGGGCTATTTGAAGTTCGTTTCTCACCACTCCCAGGCGCTCGCACCAGGAGCTTGATTTGGTAAAAATCAGAAGCTGGATCCTTTGAAGGGTGACAATTTTGACAAGCCCTGGGCAGCCTAGGTTTGAAAGAGACACCGAGTGCCAACAACAGCTCAAGGAACCTAACTCTTGGGGACTCCAACCTGCAGTTTGTCTGAAAAGTCAAGCCCGGGGAAATTAATTTTCCCGCCGCCACCAGCTACTACTAGGACTAGTATTAGTACTAGTACTAGCACCAGTAATACTACTACTACTACTACTACTACTACTACTACTACTACTACTACTACTACTACTACTACTAGTACTAGTACTAGTACTAGTACTAGTACTTGTATTAATACTAGTATTATAAAGCTTCTTCTAAACTTTTAAAGCTCCCTATATATATAAGAAGCTATATAAGCAACTTTATAGGAACCTTTAGAAGAAGCTTTATAGGGAGATTTATGAAGAAGCTTCAAAAGAAGGTTTATAAGAAGCTTTATAAGGAGCTGAAGAAGAAGCTTTAGAAGAAGCTTTAGAAGAAGCTTTATAAGAAGCTTCGTAAGAAGCTTTATAAGAAGCTTTATAAGAAGCTTAGAAGAAGCTTTAGAAGAAGCTTTAGAAGAAACTTTGTAAAGAGCTTTATAAGAAGTTAGTACTACTTCTACGACTACTACGACTACTACTACTACTACTACTACTACTACAACTACTACTACTACTGCTGCTGCTGCTGCTGCTACTACGACTACTACTACTACTACTACTACTACAGAATTATGATCCAACACCGATTACCTGCAAAACGATAAGAAAAACGATAACGGTGTTGAGGGTCAATTAAAAGGTCACGGGGTTTTCTTACAACCCCATTTGGCAACAACCACCTGTTTTGTCCATGTTCTCAACTTGGCTCACCTTCAAACCAAAGGACCAAGGGTTTCCTGTCCGAAGCTGAGGTCACGGTGAAGATGCGGCCGCGGGCGCTGGTGTGCGTGGAGACCTTCAGTTCCTACCCGCCCCTGGGCCGCTTCGCCATCCGGGACCATGGGCGCACCATCGGCGTGGGAGTCATCAAGGAGGCAGGGAAGAATCCAAATAGATGGAACACGAAGCCTGGAATGGATTTTAGTTTCAAAGCTTGCCAAAGGGAAGCACCGCTAGTTCCTTTGCGGCCTGGGATCACCTGTGCTTCAAGCGACGGAGTTTTCCTCATGCCGAAGACCCGAAGGTCTCCAAAAAGGCGGTGCCGAAGAGGAGTGAGAGCTTCGACGAATGAAGGCTCAGTTTGCAGTGAGAAAAAGATGCGGCGCTTCGTGCTGTTGCGTGGAGGGGATGCACTTACACAAAGGGATGGGGAGTTGCAGCCCAACAAGTCAAAGGACACTTCCCTTCCCCTTTCAGGTCTCTTTTAAAGTGCCCTTTGATTCGTCCGCCAGACCTTTGAGGTGCAATGGGGCACTTGGCCCACACGGGCAGCCATCAAGCTAGTCCATAAAGACATCAATCAATAGACCGCCTTTGGGCACATTTCCCGAAATGCTACGGCTTGCTCTCCGAAATGTAGGACGCATTGGTGCGATGTCCGTGCAGATTTGCTTTAAGCCAAACGGGCCGTCTCAGGTGTGGAGAAGCGCAAAGCGCCCAACTCCCGGCGGACCATCTCCACTCACTGCACGGTTGGGCCCAACGGCAAGCCATCCTTCACGGCACCTGGGCGAGAACTGGAAGCTAAGAAAGACTAACTGCCCAAAGGGCTCCTGAAAGGCGATCCCCAACAGCTGTTTGTTTTGTCCGGACGGTTTCTTGGGTGCTTCTCTGAAGGAAGCTTCAAGATGAGTGATGTGACAGGCTGCCAGTGTGAGGCATGACCATATATACGATGATCCCTCCCTTCAGGTAGCAAAATGCTTTAAGGAAAAAAGCGATGTGAAACTAAGCGATCCATCATGTTCAGAGGCATTTATTATTGTTTGGTGGGACCCATTCTTGAGGTGCAAGGTTCATTTGCATGGGGATGGGATCCTTCTTTCTTCCAGTTGGGAGCTGGGGCCATGATGGTCAGAGGCTGTCCTGGCCTGCAGGGCGCGTTGCATCCATGCACGAACCACTCAACACGCACTGACGTTGTAAGATGTTTTGGGTTGTTTCCTTCATCGCCCCTTGTGAATGCCGATCCCACTGAAGAATATGCTGCATGTCCTCCCGCGGGGCCTTACAATGATGTATGACAGTGATTGAATTCCAAGTTACATTCTAATTCGATTATGTCATACCTTACTGAATTCTGCTTGACTTCTACTACGTGCTTATTCAACATCCTTTTTGGAGGAAACCCCAAAAACACTTGTTGGGTTTTTGGTTGTTTGTTGAGGGACGGTGCAATAAACTCGTTGTTTGTTGGTTTTTCTGCACGTGCCGGAAGGAAAACACAAAGCCTTGAGGTGTTTGGTTTTTGGGAGGGACAGTGCCAAAGAACAACAAACACTGGGAAAGCCAAAAGTAACAAAACAACACTCTAAGGGAGACTCTTTGGGTTTAGCCCCAGACTTGTTTAGTTGGTTTTCTCAAGTTTGTGTATTCTCCTCTTTGTTTTGAAGTTTAGTATGTCCTCCTCATGCTTAGACGGCGGGATCAAGCAACTTTGAGTTGCGTTATGCTGCGAAACTGGGTCCAAGAATCAAAAAAACACCTGCAGAAAACCAAACAAAGTTTGGGGGCTGAAGGCAAAGATGTTCCCTTAGAGATTGTGTTTGTGTCTTAGTTTCGCAGTGTTCTTTTTACAGTTGTTTGGTTTTCCTCTTGGGGTTTTGGACATTTGGAAGGGTCAAATGTACTTTGTTTCATTGTTGCACATGTCAAACAAGAATGAACAAAAACAGTGTGCCTGTTTTACTTTGCAGGCGTAAAACACGAGAAAATACTTGCAGTGGAATGCCCGCAGAGACCAAAGTTCGGTTAGGGGGTTTGCACATGCACTTTCATGACTCTGCATCTTCAACATCAGTCTACAACTCATAAGCACCATGACACGCTGGCATTAAACATGCCTACTGTCAATACATTAGAGCTTGTTCAAAGAACTTCAAAAAGCAAATGGTAGATCACGGGAGGGCTGACCATAAAAATATAGTACTGATACTGAAACTTTGCAGATTTGGTTCTGAAAGCTTATGTCCAGCGCCCAGCACAACACTCCCACAGTCGCACTTGAGGAGCTGTTCCCGCTGTCGCACCTGGAGGGCCCGGACGGGGAGCGGTACTCCCTGGTGGCGATCAAGCTCCACACGGGCCGCACCCACCAAATCCGACGCCAGAGGAAATTCAGAAACACCTCCGGTTTGTGTAGGCGGCCGACACAGTTGACGATACGAAGTGGGCCATGAGACTGTGAAGTACCTTTTGACACATGCATTGGTCTTGTGGCCTTCGTGCTTGCAGGCTGCACTGTGCAATGTTTTGCCGCCAGCAGATCAGCAAACTTTGTGGCCGTTGACTAGTTCCCGACTTGGTGCTTTTGGCCATACTCATGCTTGCGAAGGTTGCGGTGCCCTTGTTGCTTCACCATGCCCAGGAGGCAATCCGCAATCCACGTTGTAGCTTGTGTGTTTTTCTCAGGCTTTGAAGACCAGCTGAGAGATCGCAGAGGAGCTTCAAGTCAGCAAAATGTGCGAATGCCATCCGCTACCTGAGGAGTGCACATGCTCTCGATTGGCCACCCGCTCGTTACCGCCACTATGCCTGCACTGTAGCCGCTTTAGGCGCAATGTGTGTGGCTCAACTTGGCAGCCAAGCCGTCAGGACCAAGTGGGCTGTTTTGCACCCTCAACGTAGGTTGTTGATACCATGGCTATGCTTCGTATGCTTTGTACAGCTGCACTGGATTAAGGACGCCAAATATGCGGAGGAGAGGCTGACCACGGATAGGGCCTGGTGCCCACGCAACTTTCTGCACACCTACCGACTGGCGCCAACTGGCCTGCACCTAGCGGTGTGTGCAGTTCCGGCAGGGTCTTCAGGATACGTTCCTGAAAACAGGTGCATGGCGTCTATCTAGAAATCAATAGAAGTCAGTTTGACTGATTGAGGGTTTGCCTGCTGACAGGTGTGGTTGGATGTTTCCTCTCCGGATATCGTCAGATTGGCCAGGTGAGCTGTTACCTGAGACATGCGGCGCATGTGTTCAAAGAGTTGCAAGGGCAGCCCAGCAGGCAGCTTGCCAGGCCAACCTCTTAATTATCGCCAGCGCTGGTTAGGCAACCTCTGAATGAGGGGAGGGTGGGGTGGACCGCCTGCGAGGGTGCACTTCGTTCGTTTGTGTCGGCGAATCAGCCTGCAGGATGTTATGTGCAGCAGAGTTCTCATTTAGCCCTTTGCATTCGGTTTGCAAGTATTTTAGCATGACGCCTTCGCAGACATGGCTTCCGCTGCCACCATGATCTCATGCAAACGAAGCATTGGGAGTACTTTCAAAGTAGAAGCGGAGACGATTGCTTTCAATCTGTGAGCGACAAGACTCAAGTCCGATTGCATCGCCAGCTTGGTACGTGATGAGTGAGGTTCCGGGACCTGCCAACGGAGAAGGAGCTTGCAAGCACGGGCTTCGGAGACGTGCAGGACCCGCATATGGCAGACGCTAAGCTAGGCACAACTAAATGGCTGCTGTATGGCACATGAACTTGGACATGACTCGACCCACTCCAACAGTGCTAGGTTGGGCTGGAGCATGGCCGCGAGTTCGGCATGCCAGACGGCTATTGGAAGCCAGACGCGCACGCGCGCACACACATATTGGATTTTAGATTGGATATGTAGTACTTGTATGACATAGGCAGGGGGGCAGCGGACACGTCCGGACCACACTGGATGGCCACGGTCCAGCGCCAGGAGCTGGTCACGCCTCTGCCGGCGGACCTGCGCCAGGCCATGGAAGGCCTGAAGCCACTGGATGAGGTCTCCCGGAGCCACTGGCAGGCCCCGGCAGTTTGCTTCGATCGGCTGAGCCATTTGCGTGTGTTTGTTTGTCGGGTGTCCAGCTGATGACCCAGGCTTGAAGCCCTGTACGCGGGCAGCGTTGGGAAAAGTAAGTTTTGGCATCTTGGGATGGCCGCTTCGGTTTGAGAAACATGTCATGTGCGAATCATTGTGAGGTGTTCCCGCTCTTGGCAGGAGTTCAGCCGGATGGCTTCAAAGAATGGAAGCCAACATGGAACTATTGTTTGTTTGAGTTTCTTATGTTGAGGCATGCCCTCGTGTTCCCTTGCAAAAAGAACGTTTGTTTGTGTGTCGTAAGGGCGCCTCCAAATTCACTATGCAAAGTCTTTCCTGCATTGCTGCCGTGACTGCCATTAAGCATGCCAATTCTGCCTGGGCTTGTTGGGTACTGGTGCCAGCAGTTGTGTTGCGCACGTGCGGAGGCACAGGAGAGCACAGAACTCAGAATTTGCCCAGCTTGACCTTTCTCATATGGGAGCTAGAAATTGCATATCAAAGCAACTGGGCAAAGAGAGGTGGGTAAGGCAGTGATTGCCAGAGGCCTGGATAGGTAATCCGACCACCCAGGTCCCCAGGTTCACTTGCAGAGATTTTCAAGTTATTGGGGAGTGGGGTGGTGTTACCGACCGGTGCGCCAGGATTGGCTTGCCGGAGAAGCATCGATGCTGAAGCCCTTCGAGAAGTATACGGCTGAAGTTGCCGAGTGAAAAAGGTGCTTCAAGCGAGGGGGTGGCACATTCCACTATTTTGTGCGATGTCCTTTGTTGAGTTACGTCAGTTCCTCGCGGATTGGTTCCGTCAAGGACAGGGCTCATGTGAGACTCAGGCGCTACCTCGTCGCTCAGCGGTTCAAGGCAGGGCGCAGCCGCGCACAAGTCAGAAGCAGCAAAGGCGCCCCACAGCTCGAGTTCCAAAGCCAGCGCAGCTGTCCAATTGTGAGGGGTCCCCTAAGGCCCTAGTTTTCATTGGCGTGCAAGGATTTGCAATATGTTTGTCACGATGCATTGTTGAATCCACAAAAAGGAAGCTGTCCATCAAACGCTCAACTCGCCAGGGAGCGGTTCCTGGCTTCCACCAGTTGCTGCAGGCGGTGCGTGCAGCACAGGAGGCCAGACCCAGGCAGGGCCTGGAGCCGTGGCCGGACTCCTGTGTTCCATGGGCATTGAAGAAGTGGTTTTTGGGCCGGCTCTCGTCATTTGAAGGACACCATCTTTGTAATGATAAGGTAGTTACAGCGGATGGGTGACTTTGGTATCACAGCAAGGGATATTTGAATTTCCCTTCGGGCTAGCGACATGGGCTTTGCCAGGACAATTTGCGCACAGCAGCCTGCAAGCCGCACTTGTGACGTGAGGTTGGCACTGTATAATCCATTTGGACGGCACGTGTTGGGCATTGAGTGGCTCAAGTAGAAGCTGAGCCCCATGGCCGGCGAGGCGCGTGAGAGCGAGAGTGGTTCTTTGCAGAGCCCTGGTTAGAAACGAGTCACTTTCTTCATATGTTTGTGCCCCTTGCCCGGTCAGTCGCCCATTTCGCGCTTGCTCTTTGCAGCCTTGAGCAAACCAGCCTCGAATTCCAACACGTACTGCGCATGAGTCCTGCATGGATACACGTGGACGTTCTTTGCTTTGCGCGTGTCAACAGTGCACTTAGGGTCGAATTGGGGCTGTGTGACAAAAGGCAGGCTTGGACGCATTTGAAGCGTCGAGCCCGAGCAAAAAAATGATACTCGTCTTGGCCAGGCAACGAAGTATCGTGTTATGTCATGACAGGCCGGCGCATGTTTAAAGGGCCCCAGTGTCTCACAGCTAGGCCATGGCTGGTAAGCGGAAGCAGCCGGGCTTCTTGGTCTCAAGCAAGCTTTTTCGGATGCAGCAAGAGGCAAGTGAGAGTCATGCTCAGCTCGGACGCTGTCGCATTAAGCACTTGTTGATTGGCAGCACTGATGTTGCAGATGCGATGTTTGTGGGCAGCTGTCATGGGCCGCAGTGGCACCGGACATGCGGCCAAGGAACTTGGCGATAATTGTTGCAGCCATGGCAGCGTTGAGGTCAAGGCAAAGGAAACCCCCTTTCCTGTGAAGGCCGCAACTGGCATGACTGGCCTTCCTTCTGCTTGCCTGCTCGCCCCAGATTGGCCCAGGTTTTGCGCCTGCAGTCGTCAGGCAGGGATGCAGTCTGTAGCAACGGGCAAGACTCAGCCCAGTGCTGTTTGCCACAGTACTCTTACAGACTCAGGCTGACTATGGCGTGCTTACAGAAGAATATGGGCGGCCCTTGACGCTTCAGATTGCACCCAAGTGTGCGCTATTCAACGCGCTGAGTGTTTTGAGGCAACTAGGGCAGTGTGAATCAAACATATGCTGCTTCCACCCCCGGCATCTCTGACTGTTAGACCTCTAGGCCGCCCTTGTTGCAAATGGATGCCCCGCAACATGCTGTGAGCTTGTAGTTGCCAAGCCATGTTTTTCAATGTATGCACTCCTGAGCCCCATGTGGCAACCCGAAAGAGCGCCTTGGCATTCCCAGATGCCGTGAACCGACTGCTCGTGGCAGGCGCATCCATGGGAAGACGCAGGTCGCAGCCACTGGAAGACGCATCCGCGGCAAGACGAGGATCGCCCGCATCGCCCACAGCAAGGCGCACTTCGCCCAGATGCGCATCCACGGCAAGGGGGGCGATCCCCGAAGGCGATCAGAGTTTCAGCCGGCCACTCGTTTGCATCAATGTAGCAGCAAGCAATCCCATCAATCCATGAATGAGCTCATCCCATCTGATCCAAGCTGACTCGACCATCAGCCTGATCAGTGCGCCGCACGCTGTTTCGCCCCCCGCTTCCCCATCCTGCCCTGCTCTCCACTCCTGTGCCTTCTGTCACTCAGCGCCAGTCAGTCAGTCACTCAGCCAGTGAACCGACCACGCAATAGCATTATTCTATAATGTGGATTCGGTGGCATGCAGGGCTTGAAGGGCAGAGATTCGAATTGCCAAAGGTGAATCCATTTTCCGAGGACAAGAAGGCCTGGGATCACATGTGTAAGCTTCAGTTAGCCGCCAGCTTTCCTCCATGGAGCCGAGCGCATCATGTTTGACAAGAAGAAGAGCAACCCTCACGCCTCAAGAATCCAACCTTTGACGTGGGATATAGCACTCGGCTGAACACCTAGCCTTCCCTGGCAGGGGCTGGCACAGCTGCCGGAGCGCTTTGCCTCAAGTTCAGCTTGGGAAGGCTCGATGCAGGCAGAAGGCCACCACCAAGTTTGTGCGGCCGGCCCGATTCGAATCGCTCAGGATCTCGCGCGCCCGAATGGCCATGTCGCCCGCAGTCCTGGGCACCATGCCTTGCCGGGAGCAGCAGCAGAGTGAGGCGCCGGGCGTCAGGGCGCTGACTGTTTATTTGCAAGTGCTTACTGGGGTGAGCAACAGGAGTTGACAAGCCAATGGCCACCGACGCTCGAAGGATCTCAAAGGCACAAATAGCTCAGGCCCCTTGAAGGTCCTTTGGGCCTTGGGGGTTTCTTGTTTGTTTTGTTTGGTGCAAAGTCTCAACGTGTACAGAATCAGCAAGAGCTGCTGCTTGCTTGACGTGGCTCAGGCGACATTGAAATTGTAAAGATCTGGCTGTCGAGGCTTTTCCTTTGCAGCTTGGCACGGCCGAACAACACTTGACCGGAGACATGTTCCAGAGCTGCAGTTCGGTCAGGTTGCTGTAAGTGAGTCAGCAGGGCACGCAAGGTCTGCCCCACTGAAAGATTCTCCGTTGCTCCGGCCTTTGCGCTTTGGCCAGTTGTTCAACCACCTCAGCGCGGCGATCCGCCAGGGAGGGTCCAAGAAGGCAGGGCGGCCAACGGCGGTCACGTCGGTGGGCACCCAGCTGGAGCTAGCCCATATTTTTTGTTCCACGCACTTTATAGACTTTGGGTCACAAGTGGCTTTTCGCCTTTTTTCGCCTTGGCCACACAAGCAATTAACGGGTGACCTCTGGCGACGAATGTGTAGAGGTGCTATACATCTCCGGCATGCCGGGCACCGGCAAAACCGCCTCCGTGCTGCAAGTGGAGGCCCAGTTGAAGCAGCCGCCCAGCTTGCAGTGGCTCGCTTGGCCGTGAAAACCCGACTCGCTTTACTCCCAGTTCTGAGTGAGAATTATGAGGATAACCCCTGCAACCAGTCCCTGGAAGGATGCATTCATTATTGGAAGGTGGTCGTTCTGTCACTTCCTTTGGGCCCGCCTCGGCTCAGCAAAGGAAATTCGCCTTCGTGCACATCAACGCCATGTGCCTAGGGAAGCCGTCTGCCTCTTGGCACGCAGCCCAAAGCCTGACATGCAGCCACACTTTGCCTCTCCCTCGTTCCCCCTTGGTGTTCCAATGGGCCAGCGAGCACCGTGTCAGTGGGGCAACAAGGAACGGGTGGGGAAACGGAGCGAGCTCCCACTTGGGACCTGTTCCGGTAGCTCCCCCTGCCCTACGCATTGCTTGACACTTGAGGCGGTCTTTGGCGAAGTTTGGCGGCAGCTGCGGGAAGCAGGCGCGACCATATACTCATAAAGTATTTCTAACGCACTTGTGCAAGACATATAAAACATAGTTGCTTGGTTCTTCTCAGTGTGCCCGATTACTGTGTTACGACGAGCAAAAGGCCACCAACAACAACAAAGAACCCATGCTTCACCGTCAAATTCCCGCCTCCTGCAGAAACTGGGCCGTGTACTGATTACCAAACTGGATAGGTCAAATCCCGACTTTCCAAGGCGCATGAATTGGCCATGGATCAAAACCAATGGTACCATTTTGGGATAGGTGCACCACCCATTTTAGTCTATTTTAGTGGGCATTGGTATGTTCACTGGGGGTACGGGGTTTTGACCCATGGCCAATTGACCACACTTTCCCGTGATGAATCTAGGCGTGCTTCCTTTGTGGAAATGTTTCAGGCTTGGCCCAGGAGCGTTGCTCCGCCGCAGCTGCCGAGAAGCAGGCCAAGCGGCCCCGCTTGCATTCTTGTCTCCAAGGGTTTTGGTGTTGTACTGGGGTTCGCCCTATAACACAAATGGTGCAACATGCCTTCTTGAACAGGCAGGGGAAAGGTATGGAAAGGTGGGAAATCACTCCCCAGTCCCTACTGTAAAACCTTAGGCAAGTTCGGCGGCAATGAAACTCCAAGACTCGGCGCTGCGCTGGTCCAACTCTACCTGACAAGCAGTTTCGGGGCGGGGCCAGGTCGAAGGCTTTTTCCTCCACCGCGCAACCCAGCAGGCGCAAAGGAGAGAGAGAGAGACCGGACAGGAGAGCCGGCAGGAAAGTGGGAATGAGTTGCATGCCAAGTACATAGATCTACTTCATTCGTGGTTGAAAGAGCTCACACAGGCAGCTGCAGAAGCCCTGGCAAACTGGTTGCCTCACGCAGGTCGTGGTTCTTCTAATCGAACCTTGGCTGCATTGGTGCGTGGCGTTTTTTCCCCGCCAACCCAAAGGCATAGCTCGTTCCACTCGGCACCCGTGATGCGCGAGCAGTGCCATGTGGCCAGAGGGGCAGGGAGGAAAATATGCCAAGGACGAGCTGGACTGCTTGGCAACGCGAAACCAGGCGAGGCCGGAAAGTCAACTCACTGAGACTTTGTTGATACTCAGGCATGAAAGAACCCTCGCCCATGGAGTCAGAGGCGCATAGCCATTTTCAGGCCATCCTTTACCGCATCTTGAGCCTGATCATGCTGCCAAAGCCCCATCTTGTGCCGGACTTAGCTGGCCCCGGCTGAAAAGCTGCTTCATGGAGCTGCCTCGTACGCAGGCCAGCCATTACGGTGCCAGGAAACTGAGATTGGAGCGTGGGCAGGCAGAACCAATTTGTGAGAGAAGCGCTTTGTTTGCCATATCTTGTTGCATTCCACGAGGACTCGAGTTGTTTAATTCTCGGCGATGATCGCCTTTGGTTTGAGGTGATGGTGGCAATTTCCAACAACATCGATTTGCCTGAGCGGCTTCTCCCCAAAGTCAGCACGCGGCTGGGTTTCGACCGTGTGGACTTTCGAACCTACACGTGGCTCGGAGGAATCAGAGCCATAGCATGGGGTACAGATGGCAAGGACAGTGGATCAAGATGTTTGGCAATGACCAGGTTTGCACATTGTACTAACGTTTGGGTTGATACGGCCCAATAACACAGGAACGGGGAACTTTTGAGTTATAGGCATGCTTGTCCTCGTGGCAGCGAACCATGGTCATGATTTTAATCATCGGTTATCCATTTTTTCTTCATTTACTCATTCACTCAGTCATGCAGTCATCCAGTCACTCAGTCACTCTGTCACTCTGTCATTATGTCATTCATTCATTAATTAATTCATTCATTCGTTAGTTCAGTTCAGTTCAGTTCAGGTTCAGTTCAGTTGAGTTCAGTTTAGTTTAGTTCGTTCGTCGTTGTCATTGTCATCATCACCCCTACCAATGGCCATCCAGCTGCTCTGAGGAGCAACACATGGTGGAGTGGGCATATATGTGTGTGTGTGTGGGCGCAGGTGAGAGGGGCTTTGTGTTCCAAGACAATCCACCTTCACCATCCTCAGGCCTTGTTTGTACCGAGGCGAGACCAGATCCATGAGATCCTCCGGAAACGCCTTGAGGTTTACAAGGCTGCCTGTCAGACATCGGCGGCGGTGATTGGGGTTGGCGCTCAATCCAATGTTCTAGGGTCCATGACAGAGGTCGAATACCAAAGCCTAGCCCACAACTCGCATGTGAACTGCACGAAGGCCATTCTCGCCCGTGCTTAAATGGGAGCATTGATCAAGCTGGAAGGCTGTTTTGCGGGGTCACTCATCTTTCTGCCTGGACTGGAGGCGCTGGACACCTTCACCAATGACACACTCAAGTATTGTGCTGCGCGTGTTGCTGGCCACTCGGGTGATGTGAGGAAGGCAGGGCATGAATTGCAGACGCAGCTTTTAGTGGACATCAGCGGGCACGGCCCCTGACAATTGGTGTGGAAGTCGGTTCAAAGGAAATCCGGTCAGCGAGTGAGCAATAGGCCCAACAGGTCCTGTTGCACGACAAACGCAGGTTAGGTGGGCACGTTACCTTACTGCTCGGCTTTCAACCTAACAACACGTCGCAACACCACGGCATCTACGCATCGAGACTTCGACCTCTCGGGATCCGCGCAGCCGTGCAAGCTTGTCAACTCAAAACAATGTTGCACTCTCGATTTGTGCGTGTCATCCTTGCGCAGTGGCCATGCTAATCTCTGTCTGCATCGTTCCAACAATTAAGATCGCCGAAGCGAATCCGAGCTGGCGACAAAACTCCACCACCACAACTCCAAACCTTCACTTTTTTCATTCCTGGCAGAACGCACATGAGCATTTCAATTCAAAATTAACATTCAACATGGAAGGATCGCAGAAGCTTTCAAGCCTCTTGTCCTGGTAGAAACAAGCCACAACAAGCTGACTGCCTATTTGCGGGTCAAACATTCGGGGGAACTCCTCTTGTTGGCTTCGAAGCAGAACTGCCTGGAAGCCAAAGCCTTGGAGTTGCACCGGACAAAATTCGGCCCCAGAGGCGCTGCAGCTTTGCAAGCGGGCGCTGGATGTGTGCAGGCAGCTGCCAGTGCGTTGGCGGCATTGGCTGTTTGGATCTCGAGCGCTTGTTTGGACACTTGGAGCAAGTGCTCGACATGCTGTTTGGGAAGGTCGTGCCTGGGAAACACTCCACCAACAGTTCAGACCTTTCTGTGCTATGCCATTGAGCCACCATTCATAGAAGACTATACCCCCCCCAACACTCCCCCCCCCCAAAAAAAAAACGGCTAAGGGAAATGAGTTTCGGGCAAGAATCCATGGCGCGCTGCCTGCCAGGCAAAAATACACCATGAATAAGGATATGTTTGGGGGGTGTTCCCGAGTTGCAAAAATTACAGGGATGAAAGGATAGCCTAAATAAGGGGCTGGTCGCTTGGATTGTTGGTCCAACCAGTGACTAGGGTCAGACCTGCTCGGGTTTGTTCTGTGTCTTTTGGCAGCGCTGACTCTGTCTATTTGCCCTGCGTACAAACAGCGAAAGCATTTTCGTGCTTATTTTGAGCGTTGTCGAAGCTGTAGTTTGGGCGAAAGGAATGCATATACGCAGCAAATCCTTATTTGGTGCTTATTGGATGCTTACAGAATTGCTGCATACATGGGCAACACCCTCATTTGGTGCTTAGTTGATGCTTATTCGATGCTTATTTTTGCCAATGCTTGTATTCAACACCAAATTGCTGCATATATGCAGCAAAATGCTTATTTGGTGCTTATTTGATGCTTATTCGATGCTTATTTTTGCATTGTTTGTATTTGCAGCAAAATTGCTGCATATATGCAGCAAAATCCTTATTTGGTGCTTGCTTATGTTTGCCAATGTTTGTATTCAACACCAAATTGCTTGCATGTATGCAGCTATTTGAAGCTTATTCGATGCTTATTTTTGCCAATGTTTGCATTCAACACCAAATTGCTGCATATTTGGTGCTTATTTGATGCTTATTCGATGCTTATGTTTGCCAATGTTTGGATTTGGAGCCAAATTGCTGCATATATGCGGCAAAATCCTTATTTGGTGCTTATTTGATGCTTATTCGGTGTTTTTTGGGCAAATGTTTCGATTTGGACGTAAATTGCTGCATATATGCAGCAAAATGCTTATTTGGTGCTTATTTGATGCTTATTCGATGCTTATTTCTGCAAGTTGTTTCCATTTGAAGCCAAATTGCTGCATGTATGCAGCAAATTCCTCATTTGGTGCCTATTTGAAGCTTATTCGATGCTTATTTTTGCCAATGTTTGTATTTAACACCAAATTGCTGCATATATGCATCAGAATGCTTATTTGGTGCTTATTTGAAGCTTATTCGATGCTTATGTTTGCCAATGTTTGCATTTGGAGGCAAATTGCTGCATTCATACCTCACACAAATGTGTGTGTTCGGGGCCAATTTGAGGGGGTTTCCTCGCCTAAGTCAATCTGGCTCATTATTGTTGAGCTGAAAAGCCTCAGGATATGGCCTGGCGGGCAATCACGGCAAAACCCTACCAAACAATTGCAAGAAGCCAACTCAGTTTCATCAAGCATAACTTTAAATAAGGCTTATTTGAGCACTCCCAGGCCACGTTGCCGCAAGAGCCCTGGACAAAGCATCATCGAGGCAAATAAGATCTAAATAAGGCTAAATAAGGCTTATTTTCAATCACCCAAAATAAGCCACAAATAAACCTTATTGAAGGGCCAACGGTCAACCTTCCAAAATAACCGTTAAATAAGGCTTATTCATTATATTTCCTGAAATGTGCAAAACCTTAGCCATTTTGGGGGGGGGGGAGTATTGGGGGGGGAGTATAAGCTTCTATGAGCCATGGGCATTCAGACCTTCAGGTGTTTGACAGCTCCACCAAGATGCAAGGGAGCGGTCGTATGGACATGGCCTGAGGTGACGATCCAAGATCTGCGGGCGGCTGACCAAGACCTCCTGCAGGCCAACCCCTGTGTAAAGGCAGTGCATGGCCTTAGCGCCTTGGATGAGGCATGATGGTGCTGTGGCTGGGCCGGTGGGGTGGTGATGAGTTTTGTTTTCGCAATTTCTGTGATGTGTGTGTGTGTGAGAGTGTTTTATTGTAAACGCTTCGCGTTGCCCGCCTCGGCCCAGCCTAGTTTGAGGGAAGGGTCAGGAACACCGAAATCCAGTGTTGGGTGTTCGACTCGAGCAGTCAAGCGGTCAGCCGCTTGGGGTATGTCATACTCTAACAAGGTTAACCGCAGAGTTGATAAGTGGGTTATAGCCTAGGTTACCAGCAACTCAGTGTAGGGTTGGTCCGCGGAAGCTTTGTGGAAGCGCGACGGAAGCTTATGAGTAAAAAGTAGCACGGGTTCATATCGCATGCTTCGGAGACTAGATGTAATTCGTCCTGGGCCACGACCAACAAGTCAGAGTTCGGATTGCGAGCGCGGGACCTGCCCCAGGCCACGGACCGGGGCAGGCAGGTTGCACTTGTCCCAGGCCACGGATCGGGACAAGATCTTCGAACTGCGAGCACGGTGCCTGCCCCAGGCCACGGACCGGGGCAAGGCGCGCGTTCCAGCAGAGTGTGCGTGTCCCAGGCCACGGAGCGGGACACGAGCTTCGGACGGCGAGCGCGGTGCCTGCCTCAGGCCACGGACCGGGGCAGGGCGCACGTTGCGGCAGATTGTACTTGTCCCAGGCCACGGTTCGGGAGAAGACTTTCGGACCGCGAGCGCGGTGCCTGCCCCAGGCCACGGACCGGGGCAGGGCGCGCGTTCCAGCCGAGTGTGCTTGTCCCAGGCCACGGATCGGGACGCGATCTTCGGACGGCGAGCGCGGTGCCTGTCCCAGGCCACAGACCGGCGCAGGGCGCGCGTTGCGGCAGGTTCTAGTTGTTCCAGGCCACGGATCGGGAGAGGATCTTCGGACGTCGAGCGCGGTGCCTGCCCCAGGCCACGGACCGGGGCAAGGCGCGTGTACCAGCAGAGTGTGCGTGTCCCAGGCCACGGATCGGGACACGATCTTCGCACTGCGAGCGCGGTGCCTGCCCCAGGCCACGGACCGGGGCAGGGCGCGCGTTGCGGCAGGTTGCACTTGTCCCAGGCCACGGATCGGGACAAGACCATCGGTCCGCGAGCGCGGTGCCGGCCCCAGGGTACGGAACGGGGCAAGATGGCGTTCTGTTGCGCGACCAAAAGGAGTGCATGGGAGAGGAACGCGCTCGTCCGTGACGACAGGAGCTCAGTTGGATGCGGTGCGTCGTGTGTGAGCAAGTGACCGAACACTTGCAGCTAGCAGAGCAACAATGTCGCGCGTGCGAGACACGCGTGCCTGTGCAGGCTTTTAAGAAGGGCGCGCGAACCCACCGTGCCTGCATGCAAGGCGCTCGCGGCCAAAGCGGCAAGCGAGGACAGTAGCGAGCAGGCACGCTGTGTTTGGCATGCGCGTACCCACCGTGCTCGGCGTGCGCTAAACCACGACCACGGAATGGTCGGTAGCACGTGAAACAGATGCCGTGCTGCCAGTGTTTCGCTTGTCGCAAACTCGCCAGTACGTCCGGACACTTGATGGCGTGATGTTTCACGTGAAAAAAGTTCTGCGTCGCAGAGCCCCAGTTGGGCTCGGAAACTGGGCATGGAGATGCGTCGGCGTTGCAGTTGTGACACGGGCAGTGTCTCGGAGGCTCAAGCCGCAGAAACAAGCTGCGCAGTCCCAGAACGAGAAACAGGCACAGTAACTGGCACGGCAACAGCAGCAACAGCAGCAACAGCAGCAACAGCAACAACAGCAACAACAGCAACAACAGCAACAACAGCAACAACAACAACAACAACAACAACGACAACAACAACAACAACAACAACAACAACAACAACAACAACAACAACAACAACAACAACAACAACAACAACAACAACAACAACAACAACAACAAGAACAACGACAACAACAACAAGAAAACAACAACAATAGCAAGAACAAGAGCAACAACAGCAACAACAACAAGCGCAACAACAAGAGCAACAATCCGAACTTCGCAGGATCGGCGCCCATGCAAGTACCACCATTCGCGGCACGCATACTTCTTGAGGCCATAGGCTCAGCGGCACAAAGTGCAACGGTTACTGGAACAAGACTGGGTGAGCACTTGGCGTGGTTGGCTGGATGCGCAAGAAGAGTCTGCAGAGTCTTGTGCTGCCGTGGTCGAGCGGTTCCTGCGCATCCATGCGGCGAACGCACCGCAATGCTTGAAAACCAACGAGGCGCGCATTGAAGAGCTTGCTGCGGCAGGCTGGCAGTTATGCCCGAGTTCGGCGCACGGCAGGAACAACTGCCTTTTGGATGCACTGCTTTTGTGCATGTCGGGAGCAGGCTTGCTTGACAAAGCGCTGCTCCGCGATAGCGTGGCCCGCAGCCGCGCATGTTCTCGCTGCAGGCAGCACTTGACGCAGTCCGTCGAAGAACGACTTCGGCCAAAGCAGCGAGACGCACAGGGTCGTGTGCTCGCTGCGACTGACGAGGAACACGCGCAGGCGTATCTTCAAAGTGACATGCACGCGCCTCTCGCATTCACCTTTTTCTTGGATTCGTTTCGCGTACCCGTCGCTTTGGCTGAGGAGTGGCAGTTAGTCGTGTACACGCGGTTTGACAGCGAGGACATTCGACCTGAAGAAGCAGCTGTGATGCTGGTTGAAGCCCAGCAGGATCCACGGACTCGGAGGGAGCTGCGAATGTTCAACCACGTGAGCAATATAGGCGTCGGCGTGCACTACGACGCCCTACTGCCGCGGGACGTGCTACAAGGGCTGCCTAACATGTGTTCGCTGGAGGAGATGCAGCCTGACAGCGAACTCGATGCGGGCGCTGTGGCAGGTCTAGAGGCGGCGGCAGGCAGCAGGCAGACGGCAGAAGCTTCGGTGCCAGGCTGCGAGCCGGAGTGCGCGGGCGGTGACTGCGGAGTCGCAGCTCCGCAGCAGCCCCCCGAGGCGAATGCAACGTCAGATTTTGCCGGCGCAGACATGGACGCAGCGTCGGACGACGGCGGGAGTTCGGCAAGCGAAGTGTCTTCAGCAGGCGATTGCCGGCCAGAAGAAGTTTGGCTAGAGGTTGCGTGCAAGCGTCCGGGCCCGTGTGGTAGTGAACAAGATGTGTGGGCTGCAAGCCCCTTGGCTTTTATGAGCAATTGTTGTGGAAAGGTTAGCGAAAGGCTGAAGTAAAGTTGAAACGCAAGCTTTTTTTTTGGTAAAGGTTGGAAGGCAAACTCAGGGATTGGCCAGCTAAGGTGTGGAGCTGCTAGCTGCGCAGATGCGCAGCAATCCAACGTTGCCCAGCTCGGGCACGGTTTCCGCGCAAGACATGATGTCGGAGTTTATTCGCTTGCCTCTCTTTTCGTGTCCTTTCGCGGGCTGCGTGTTTGAGACGGACGACGAAGGCGTTTTCTTGCAGCATGTGGAGGGCGCAGAAGGGCCTCACGCGAAAGCTGTAGCGGCAGTCAGCGCGCAGTATGTGTCGCCGATGTGTCATGGCGACATGGTCGCGGCGGCCGTGGCCCTGCTTGAGCGGCGCAAAGTACCGTGCGTCGGTGCGGCCGTGACGCGGCGCGTCCTGCGGCGGCTAGCGGAAGCGGCGTGCGACGCAGAGGTGCAGGCGCTGGTGTGCTTCGTGTGTGGGCAGGTGCACACGACCGCGCGAGGTCCGCTGCGACGGTCTCGAAAGGGCGACTTGGTCCGACAACCAGCGGGCATTAGCTGTATAGGGATGTCGGCGCAGATCCGGAACTGGCCATGCTGTGGGAGTGGGCAGCGCTCGTGCAGGGGCTAGGTCCGCGCCAAGAAGCCGTGGTTTTACTCGGCGTCACGGAAGACGTACGCTGCGCGTTGCCGCATCTGCGCGACGCGCGGTGTCGGCGCGCGGGCGCTGGTGCGTTGCGGGTCTGCGAGGTCTGCGAGATACCGCTGTGTCAAAGCTGCATAGACGCATGCAGCCGACCATGGCGCGCCCGGGTTGAAACGCAGGCAAGCGCGGAAAAAAGCGCGCAAGGCGCGCAAGAAACACCGATTGCCATGGCGCTCGCCAACGATCATTTCTACGGGTACGTGCCGCGGATGTTGCTGTCCGAGGAGGTAACGTGGCTTGAGGTCGCAGCTGCGTCAACGATCTGGACGTCGATGCTGGTGTACTACTTAGAAGCGCCGTTCGGCCACTTGCAGCTGGAACACATGCGAGGCCCCAGAGCGCGGACCGCGTCGCGAGGAAACTTGTTCTCTTTCTTGTTGCCATGGCAGCAAATTCAAGCGCAGTGCGAAAACTTGCAAAGGACGGTGCCCCGAGGCGAGGAAGAGCTGGCGAGATTGGTGCACGTTCACATAGTTGGGCACGACGCTGACGTAGTGGACAATCTGCGAGGCGCAACCATGCGCGTCGACGTCGTGTTGGCCTTGATCAACTACTTGCGCTCTGCAGGCTTTCCCGGCTACGAGAGCGCAGACAACGGCGCAGAGGCGGTGGCTGCTCGTATGGAGGAAGTGTATGGTCGCAGGTACGGGAACGGCCCTTTTGTTCCGCAGGCTGTACGGGAAGCGACGCAGGCAGCGCGTCGGGAGAGGCTGCAAGGGGCCTCTTTGATAGAAGACAAGGTCGCGGCGCCAGCGGAAAACGCGACGGACATAGATGCGATGTGTGCGGCAATGAGGCCGCTGACGTTCGTGGCAGAGAACTCGGGCCCGGGGAGCACGTCCGCGCACCGGGAACATGCCCAAGTGCTAGGCAGGTATCACACCCTAGAGATTCATAGGGGTAGTGCGCTGCAAGACCAGTTTCGGGCGCAGTATTTGAGCCAAGCTTTTCCGTTGACATTCACGCGGCCGGTGGGCGGCTACGATCTCCCTGGCCAGCCGCGGTGGCGTCGGCAGACACGGGAGGTTATAGGCTCGAGGACGCGCGGGAGCAGTGGGAGCCGGCACGAGTGAGCTTGCTGGACTTGGTGAAGGGCCTGCCCAGGCGCATCGAAGCGCAGTTCCGGCAACACTGGGCCTTTGTGCCCGGGTTATGGAACTTGTATTTTCGTGACAGGTTGAATCGTCAGGTGAGTCTGCGCTTCAGTGCCACGGCATCATCCGGCGTGATCCCAGCTGGGGCGGAAACATCTGCGGCGCAGGCCGCAGCAGATTTGTACGACATGCTGCAGCACGGCCACTTCCGAACGGCCAGTGGGACACGGCAACGGATTGCCGGGGATGTCGCAAAGCTGCGATTCGCTGAGCGCGCGACGTCGCAACAAAGACAACTGTTGGCGGACTATCGCTTTCGCACACAACAGCTACCCGGGACGCAGGAGATTCGGTCGCGGATAGGGCGCAGCGGCTTCTGGACGTCGGTAGTGTACGGCAACGGCATTTTCATGACAGTGACGCCAGGCGAGCGACAAAACTATTTGGCGGTGCGGTTGTCGCGGCTGCGGCAGTCAGACCCACATGCGAGCGGCGTGGCGCAGTGGGTTGGACACGACTGCCCGTCGCTGGAGGCACAAGCTGACGACGTCTTCGAAGCGCAAGTTCCCGGCTATGATGCTCGCAAGCTCTTGCTCGCCCGGGATCCGCTTGGCGCGGCGCTAGCGTTTGGCGTGCAGATCCGGGTTATTCTAGCAAACATACTTGGCGTGAGAATGTGTGCCTCTTGCCCGGACTGTGGCACGTCTGAGGACAAAGCTTGCATGGATCGGTTTGGGTCATGTGCGACCTACATGGGCGGGGTGGCTGGACGGTGCGATGGGTTGTGCGGTGCGGTGGAATGTCAGAAGTCGACAGGGGCGTTGCACTACCACTTCTGGGCGTACGTGCAGCGTGCGCATCAGCTCCACACGCTGCAGGAGATCACGGCGATGTTGCGGTCTCAGCTGTTGTCGGTGTCCAGCCTGAAGCATTTTTACGAAACTGTCTGCCAGACGGAATTCCCGCAGGAGGTGACCGCGTGGCAGCAAGCGAGAGTGGAGGGAGCATGGCCTGAATTTCATGAGTGCCCAGCTGGCGCAGCAGAGCCCGCGCGCTGGGGGCAGACGCGGCCAGGGCGCATACCGCCATTTGTGTGGGCGGACGCGGCGGCGCCAAAAGCCGCCGGGCCGAGCCAGGGACACACCGCAACAAAGCAGGAGCTGCTAGCAGAGGCGAAGTCGTACGAAGAAAGCTACCGAGCAGCCCTGCAGGTGCAGTTAGAGTGGTCGCAGCTACATATTCATCGCATGGACCGAGCAAGCGGGCAGCGCAAAGTGCCGGGCGCGTGCCGCCGGAATGCGACGGAGACCGCGTGCAAGCACGGCTTTCCGAAGGACGCGTACATGAACGCCGTGCGGCCCCTCGTAGTATGCGGCGGGATCGCTCGCAGGGCACGGCTACCTCGCAGTTGTCGGCGATCCATGGTTGGACGCGTGCTGCCGCGCCGCAACTCGCCGTGGTTGAATGGCACGGCGCCAGGCTTAGCGCTGGGCATGTCTGGGGCAAACACGGACGTGAAGCTGAACGACCTGATTCCCGTGCTCGAAGAAACGCACGAAAACGAAATTTGTGGCCGCGCTTGCGCGGCGAAGGCAGGTCGGCAAGGAATCAAGAAGCTCGTGCGGCGCTTTGCGCGTGCTCAGAGCGTCACAAACGGGTATTTTGGCGGGTACATCAGCAAGCGCCAGAAGCTCGGCAAGCTAGAGCTGCGAAAATGCGTGCGGAAGTTGTTGCAGTTACAAAGCAAACTGCAGGCACGCACGTCGTCCCAGCAGTTTCGAGCTGTGTCTGGGCGCATGATTTCGGACTTGGAAATCAATGGGACCGTCCGGGGAGCTGTGGAGTCCATGCATTTGTGCATCAACGCACGGGATCACGACGCATTGTCTGCAGAATGCATACGTAGCTTCCCTACCATCTCAGTGCGCAGCCAGGCCTGGTTTGAGCGTTTGCACGCAGAGCTACGTACCTGCAACGTGCAGCGGCTTGAGTGCACGGTGCCGCTGCCGAGTCGCAAGGTGTCAGCGGTGTCTCAAAGGACAATCCCTTGGGTGGATGCGTACGGAATGCGCCCACAAACGCAGGAGTTCGAGCTGCTGTCGCCGTTCGAGTTTTTGCGCTACTGGACAGTGGAAGCCGTCGAAGTGCCAAAGCGAGGCACACGCGCTGCAACCAGCCGGTTGACTGACTTGGGGCGTGAGGTCCTGGCGTCGGCGAGCGGCGCAACCGGGCCCTTGCTGCCTGGAGTGCACTTCCACGTGCGGGAGCCGGGCGAAGGGGACGCATGGATCACGTTCCCGGAGTCGAAGTCGGCTTCGACAGAGCGCTTTCGGCATATGTGGATCTTACGTCGTCGCGCAAGGCCACATGTGCCAGTGCTGGAAGGCTGTCGTCTGCCTTCGTTGTCCAATAGTGCGGAGTACAACGCCAAGCTTTTCTCTGTTTTCTTTCGGCCGTGGACCTTGCGACCGCCAGGCACAGCGACAGTGCCGCTGCTGCGCAATCTAGGTCGTGTGGACCCGGTGTCGGAGTTGTTGCGTGACATGGCGGAGCCAGTGGTGCGGTTTTCCGGCGCGTGGGAGACTTATCTCCGCGACGGTGTCGCTTCGGAGCATGGTCTCCGTTTGATCAAGACCGTGCTGCAAATGTCGTTGTGCGGTGGTGCGCGGGAGGAAGACGAAGGCCCAGAGCAAGGTGTTCAGAACAAGGCTCCGCAGCAACACCCGCGGCTGGCCGCGGAGGACGTGGCGCGCGCTTTGCGCGGGGCTGAAGCCGAGGCAGGTCTAGGGCAGGTGCGGCAAGGGAGGCACGGTGCTTCGCTGAAGCGAGTCAGCGATGTGTTCGGTACTGCGCAGCTGCCCGCGCAGTCGGCAGAGCTTGCGGCAGGGAGTGTGGCGGAAGACGCTTGCGTGCGGCACCTACATGCTCTGAGTCAGCCATCGGCGCAGGCAGAGCCAGAGATAGGGCCGTACGCGGAAGAGCGAGCAGCGTGCGCTTTCGCGTACCCGCCCGGATGTGAGGTGCCGCTGCGGAAGTGGCTGGCGGACATACAACTGCGGCCTCTGCGGCCGACGCCTAGCAACTTGGCAAAAGCATAGTAAGCTTTGGTTTAGAGTTGATATCTAGTTCCAGTGTGCTAGTGTAAGGTACTGTTTTGCACGGGGCTTATAAGCATGATGACAGCACGTGCTCGGCAGGTCAGCTGGCGCTACTTGAAACGGTAGTGGAGCGTCTGGAGCTCGAAGCAGCCGCGGAACGGGACGGGCTTCCAGTTGAAAGTCAGCCAAAGCCGTTGTGTCATTTGGTGCTTGGCGTCCCAGGAGCGGGCAAGAGCTTGCTGATACACTGGCTGCAGGAATGCTTCCAAAGCATCCTGGGCTGGAAGGCAGCCACGCAATACATCTGCGTGGCCATGCAAAATTGCATGGCTGCGCAGATAGCCGGAGTGACGTTGCACCACTTCCTGAACATACCGGTGGGTAAGGAAGTGGGGATGTATGCAACGCGAGACAGACATCGGTTCGCCGTGGAGAATCAGCATCTGCGAGCCCTGCTACTAGACGAAGTGTCTATGGTGCCAAGCGAACTGCTAGCGCAGACCGACCTACTTTTGACGGATGTCTCGCGCCGCCCCAGACAAGAAGTGTTCGGCGGTGTGAACACACTCATGTTCGGCGACTTGTGGCAGCTGAGGCCCGTGTCCGGGACAGCGCTGTGCTCCAACCCAGCAAAGGCGCCAACCATGCTGGCGTTGCATGGGCTGCAGCTGCTGTGGGGGGCTGAGACAACGCCAGTGCAGAAGTGCTGGAACTTCACGACGTCCTTGCGATGCGAGGACGTTTGGTTTCAAGGCGTGCTGGCCGAGTGTCGCGCTGGACGGCTGTCTGACGACAACTACTTCTTTTTACACGGCTACCCGACGAGGCAGCGAGTGCGCGCCGCAGGTTGCACGTGCGAGCAGGAGCTCTCGGAGCAGACCTGGGAAGCCTACGACGGCGAGTGGGCGAACAAATTCGTGCGTTGTGGATGGACAGCGCAAGAGCTGCTGAGCTTGGAATGCGAGGCTTGTGCGACAGAGCGTCGACGTCGGTGCCGCGTGATGCCGCCCGGGGCCGAAGTAGCGCGCTCGTTTCAAGAAAAGCCGTTCGATGAGGCCCCGGTGCTGCACGCCTTCAACGTCCCCCGCTATCATGCTCTCCTGCTACGCGCCAAAGCGTTCGCGATCTCTCGCAAAGAGTGCTTGACGTGGAGCTTCGCGGCCGATCAGCCACTGTGGGAGGATGCCCATGGCTGGTCGGCCGAAACCTTGTACAGCAAACGCTTGGGCTGGCTGCGAATGCACGACCAGAAAACCAGCCACTTGAGCAGCGCGGTAGCATTGGCGCGCGGCATGCCGATTCGCCTGACAGAGACCATCAACCGGAAACTGAAGCTGTTTAGAGGACGCCGTGGGCGGGTAGTGGACTGGCACTGGCTCCCGAAGACCGAATTCCACAGTACGTCGGAAGGTCTCATTGCGAGCGAACTTCCGCGCTGCGTGTACGTCTGGTTCCCCGACGCAACGTGGCAAATATCGCCAGACCTGGGACTGGGCGTGTATCCAATGACGCCGGCCACTCGGACTTGGACTCTGCACCAGAAGAGTGGCGCCAAGGTGGCCGCCGCAGCTTCTTCATGATTCCCGACTTCGCGGGCACGGCGCACATGATGCAGGGGCAATCGTTGGAGGCTCTGTTTTGCGACCTAGCGCCGCCGTCCTCGAGGACACCGTCGGAGGCAGAGCATCTGGCGGCATATGTAATGCTCTCGCGGGCCAGAAAATTGGAGCACTTGGTTATTTTGCGGCCGTTTTCACGCTCTTTGTTTCAGCAGGGGGCGCCCGCAGGACCACGTCTGCTGGTCGAGAAATTTGCGGCGAACTGGTCGCAAGAACAAGCGCGAGCAGCTTGGCAGCGTGCAGAGATGCGTCTACCGAGGCGGCAAGATCATTCCCAGCACACGTGCGCAGCGTGCTTGCTCGCAGGTCGAAATGAATGTCGGAAGCCCAAAGATGCGTTTGGCGGGCGGGCAGATGCAGAGTTGATGCGCGACGGGGCGTGGCTCCGGTGCGACGGATGCAGAACCAAGGGTGCTGAGCAAGGCGGGGCTACGTTGCAGCCGACGAAAAGGCGGCGGAAGGCAGCGGACGTGGGCGCGTGGCGATGCGACGTGTGCGCAGAAGAAGGAGAAGACTTGGCTGCAACGCGGGATCGGAGCGCGGGCGAGCGCAAGCGTGCACGCGTCTGCGCGAAGTGCTACGAACGTGGGCTGACGCCGGAGCGCCCGGCCTCCATACCGTGCGGGGAACGGTGCGGGCGTGCGCAAGGCTGGCGTCTTCTCTCTCACGCGCAGCAAGGGAGTCTGGTGGCGCAAGGACGGTACACATGTGCAGAATGCGCGGCGACAATGCAGCAAAAGCTGAGATGTCTGCGAGACTTAATGCAGAAGTCTAAAAGGCGAGGCTGCAGCTGTGGGAAAGCTGCACACGCAGAGCATTGCGTAATGTCTCCACGGACCTACGGGGAAAGGCCGTACCCCGGCTGTGACGTCATGTCGCGGGAGGAATCCGCGTGGCTGGCCCTCCAGAAAGGCCGCAGGGCCCGGTGAGCCAGCGACGTGGAGGCGTACCCGCGCGCGGCGCAGGATCACTTTCGCGCGGCGGAGCCGCGATTGGCGGCGAAGACGAGTCTGCGGCAGCTGCGCTCGATGACGACGAGCGAGGTGAAGGTGCAGCCCCCGAGCGCGCGCAACTTGCAGCTCGACCTGTTCCTGTTCGCGGACCAATTTTCCAACTTGGATTGGTCGGAGTCGGGCGGCCACATTCGGGAGGTGTCGGCGCCGCGCCAGAGCCTGAGTGGGAATCCCATGCGCACGGCCGTCTTGATCGACTGTGTTGGCGTGGGGGGCCCTGCGCCGTGGGAGACACGCGGAAGCCTTGGTGAAGGAATCGGGTACGGCGCTGTTCAGCGTGCAAAAGACGCTGGGTGATGACGGGGAGAAGAAGGTGCTGGTGTTCGACGACGCGTACTGCCAGGAGCTGGCCCGCAAGGCGTAGGAGTAGAGCCAGATTTGTACTTACATTTTTGCAGTCGCTCTAAGCGTCCCCGCGGCCAGGCACGCTTTATGGGTAGCCCGAGCCGAGGAGTTGCTGGAGTAGGAAGAAAGCGCAGCAAGAAGCAAAAGAGGTAGGTCGGCGAGGCTGAAGTCTGCGCGCAAATGTGGGAGTCGCAACGCCAAGCGCCAAGAGGTTTCAAGTACACCGAGCGCGCCGCAGACTGCAGCGCCGGGTGAGCTTGTGAGGAGAGTGCATAGCAAGAGGCAAAAAATGTGGGTTGGCCAGGCTTCAAGGTGAGCGCACGTGTGGGAGGCACGACGCCAAGCGCCAAAACTCTTGAAGGAGACCAAGCGCACTGCATACTGCATGGCTAGGATGATATAGCGAGGAGAGGTCGCATGGTGCTGAGGTAGGTGCTTAAGGTTGGTGTACGCATGCATGCGAGTGGTTGTATTTCCCGGGGCGTGCGCCGTTGGCTCAAAAGAAAGTAGGCAGGTCGGCGAAGTGGAGCTCCAAAAAGCGCGGGACATGGAGTCGAGCGATGCCGTCGTGGGGCCGAAGATGTCGCCGAGCAAGCGTAAGCGCGCGACAGGGCGGCCGATCCCTGTCTACAGTTGTATAGCAGCAGATGCCACAGGGTTCGTCACCTTGGTGCTATGGCGGGAGAAAGCAACAGAAGCTGGGAAGACACTAGGCAGCGCATGGGCGGCCGCGCAGGCTCAGGACGCGGATGCATACCCGCGCGTGGCGCTGGATCACTTTCGCGTGGCGGAGCCGCGACTAGCGGCGAAGTCGAGTCTGCGGCAGCTGCACTCGATGAAGGCGAGCGAGGTGAAGGTGCAGCCCCCAAGCGCGCTCAACTTGCAACTCGACCTGTCTCTGTTCGCGGACCAATTCTCCAACGTGGATTGGTCGGAGTCGGGGGTCGGCTGCCTGCGCGGCCAAACCCCATGCGCACGGCCGTCTTGATCGACTGTGTTGGCATGGGAGCACAGGTGTGCGCCGTGGGAGACAACGCGGAAGCCTTGGTGGACGGATCGGTCATGGCGCTCTTCAGCGTGCAAATGACGCTGGATGATGACGGAGAGAAGAAGGTGCTGGTGTTCGACGACGCGTACTGCCAGGAGCTGGCTCGCCAGGCGTAGGAGCAGAGCCAGATTTGTGCTCACATTTTTGCAGCTGCCCATAGCGTCCCCACGGCCAGGCACGAAGCCCGGGCCGAGGAGCTGCTGGGGTAGGAAGCAAGCGCAGCAAGAAGCAAAAAGGTGGGTGTCGCTCTGTCTCTCTGTCTCTGGGTCTTTCTGTCTCTCTGTCTCTCTGTCTGGTGTCCTCTCTCTCTCTCTCTCTCTCTCTCTCTCTCTCTCTCTCTCTCTCTCTCTCTCTCTCTCTCTCTCTCTCTCTCTCTCTCTCTCTCTCTCTCTCTCTCTCTCTCTCTCTCTCTCTCTCTCTCTCTCTCTCTCTCTCTCTCTCTCTCTCTCTCTCTCTCTCTCTCTCTCTCTCTCTCTCTCTCTCTCTCTCTCTCTCTAGGTGTCCGACACGCCGAAGAAGGGCGGCGGAAGTCGAGCAGGGTTGCAAACAAGCAAGCCGTGTTTGGGCAGCCGCTTATGTGTTATTGAGTTTCGGCTTGGATGACCTAGTAGCTGCCGGACTCAAGGATTTCGAAGGAGCCCACGCTCAAGAAACCGCCCTTCGAGTTGACCCGTGCCACAGACCAGGACGGTGGCACCGGCTGTATAACTGACACCGGCTGTATAAACAAAAACGTGCCAAAACGTGCCAAAACGTGCCAAAACGTGCCAAAACGTGCCAAAACGTGCCAAAACGTGCCAAACTGCGATGCCGAAAACGTGCCAAACGTGCCAAAACGTGCCACGGTTCCTGCCAGGGGGTTGAGACCTGACAGCTACATTGGATGACACATTTCGTGCCAAAACGTGCCAAAACGTGCTGTGTCTCTGCACCATGCCGAAATGTACATGTTGATAAGGCTGTAGTTGATAGGAG